AAAAATGTCAATAGATTGTTTTGAGGTCTTCAGCAAAATCCAAATATTGTGCTTTTAGTGATGGTGTATAAGATGGAGTCTGGCTGTATAGACTTCTTTGTGAATTGAAACTTCAATTTATTATAGGTGTTCACTTTTCTTATAAAGATAAAGAGACAATTATAGAATTAGAATAGTCTATTACAAATACTATAGATGTATATTTGAACAATTATGAATCAATCAAACTAGCAAAAAATCCCATTTTCATGTATAAACAAAATATATAGATATTTTTTACCATTTTATTTATAAGAGAGTATTTTAAAGAGAAAAAAAAATTATGATATATTAACAAAAATATACAATCAACTGATGTTTGTACAAAACCATTAAAAGAGTGAAATTTGAATTACATTAACAAATGTTATGAATTCAAGTACTATCTTCATTGAACATAGAAAGGATGGCTACTTATACTTATCTTCTTGCTTAGAGATCTTGTCGCCATGTTAGAGAGAAGTACCACAAATATCAATAGTCTTCTCAAATAGAAATAGTAAGGTAAAAAATATAAATTAGTAATTATAATATAACAACTCTAAATCAAAAGTTGTAGTTGTTTATCTTCTTTATTTTAGATTAGCTTATAAAAAAACAAATAGAACAAGAAAATTTAAAATAAAATGTACATTAGAATTATAGTAACATACTAACACACATGAAATAACTTATGATTTTATAATATAGAATGTTGAATAAAAAAGTATTCATATCAATAACAAAAAAATAAACAAAAAAAGAATAAATCATTAAACAATACTTTGCAAAATTATAGAGAATTGCATAGAAGCATATTAAGATGTAGAATAGCAAGCCTTAGATCAACAAAGATAATTTTCAAAAAATTAAAGATGTTAACAATACAACAAGAAAATATTATAAAACAATTATATAAACAAAATGTAGTTTATATAGTTATCATGCTAGAAAGTAGACAAACATAACTTTGATTTGACTCCTATTGATAAGTTATATACAATTAGGCCTTATTTAAAACTCCTAAGCTTATGTTGCCACATTTAGAGTAATGTTCCAATCTCTATGGGATTATTATTAACTTGTTTGTCTTGAAAAAATAACTTTGTCTCCACTCTTTGGCTCATTGAGAAGGAGTTGGTACATTCTTCTAAAAGTTTTTTGGATTCTTATGTTTTTTGTATTAAAAAAATAAATAAATAAAAAAAAAATGCATTGCCAAAGAACTATCCATAATGATGATATTAAGAGAGAAATCTAAAACTACACCACTTTTTGGAATAAACTCTATATTTTGCTATAGTAAGAGAATATTTTATTATAAGAAGAAACGTGTGATCCAATGGCATGCAATCTGTTCATCAATTCGACCTCCAAAAAGAATATTGGCTTAATTATATTACTAGTAATTCCTTTGGATTCAAATCACAACCACTATACAATGAATAGCTACGACCATAATTACAGTCTTGGTTGTCCTTTAATTTCTTGAGCTACAACTATTTTCTTTTAAGGAATTGATTGCATTTTTAATTTTCATCACATTTCATGTAGCATAATACCAATAATGGAGGTAGAGAAGCATCTCTTTAAGGACAAGTTTAATATCAGATATTTAATAAACAACTTCAAGAGCCAAGACTTATCTATGGCGGATATATCCACACATCATTGCCAAGTTGATATGCATATCCTTCAACAATAAAAACTACTATTAAGACAACAAGAAATACCAACTAATATAGTAATCCCTTCAAATTTAGATCTAAAAGGAAAATTTGATATCAAGTATAAACAACAAGAAAATGTCAATAAGCTATCAAGGACATGAATTACAACAAAATTCTAAGAAGTAATATACTCTTGTGATACTCAAAAAGATAAAGTATACAAATCAAAGATATATATAACATAGAAATTAAAATATCTATTACTAAATGCAAAGAAAGTAGAGATTCTTGAACTAAGTCAAAAATACAAAAAATATATATATATTGACAAAAATGAAAAAGGCCTTATTCTTACTTCTATATATACTCACTCTATACTAAGTCTTAGAGGACATGTTGACATAAATGTTTATTAAAACTTTGTCATCATCTATCTATTAATTTGTTGAGATTAGAGTTCCAATAATGTATAATTATTCATCCATTAGGATTCAAGGAATTAGAACCTCATCTTTTTTTGTTGAATGAACAAAACTAATCACACATTCATTTCTTAGATAAAATGTATATTGAGAGATATTATATATTTATTAAATCAATTAATATGTGCCAAAGTTAGCAATATTATTTTATACTAACAATTTGATCAATGCTCATCTTGATGAAGTTCATTTTACAAGAAAGCTCTACATTTCTATAGACCATTGTACACGAATGATAATTCTATGTATACCTCACATGGATGATAAGACTTCACATTTAGTTTGTTTATCTAATTGTATCTTATTAGACAAAATTGGAGTATAACCAATTCACTTCAAGTCTTGGAGATAAGAAAGAAGTTGTAATTTTATATATTTTTTGAATGGTTATAATATACAAGCTTTTCAATTTCAGCCAATGAAAGAATTTAAAAGTTGTATCTTTTCACCTTGTTTATAATGTCTAAAAACTCCTTTCTTTTGTGCCACAATTTAAATCAAATGATTTTTAAAAACAAGCTTATTAACCAATCTCATACAATAAAAACACTAACCAACCTCATAGCTAAACAAATTTGGTATCTAAGAATTATATTTGAAATTTTTTTGTGTATATACTTTCTCAAAAAATATTATATTCAGTTTACAACTACAATATATATTTTGCATATGTGTATTGATTTTTTTTAAAGTTCTTGGACAATAAAAACACTAACCAATCTCATTGCTAAACAAATTTGGTATCTAAAAATTATATCATTGTATTGTTTATGTATTGTCCAAAAGCAGAAATACACAATTAATGGCCAAAAAAATATTTATATCAATTATAAGATTAATTTAACTTGTGAATAATGATTATTGCAATTGTATTGTAAATATAGATTATTCTGTTGCAATAATAGATGCTTCAGTTGTTGTTGTCTATGCTTCTACTGTTGTTGCTTCTGTTGTTGTTGTATATATGTATAAAGAGGTTTATGTGTTCAAATGTACAATTATATTTTTAAACAAATAAAGAATAAAAAATATGTTTATAGTGAAAGAATAAAACATAATGCTAACTTACTATACGTAATTGCCATTATTAAAAATAAATTTATCTATATTCTAAATCATACAACTTTGCAGAGGCCATTTATTTGTAGCACATAATTCTTTAGACTAAAAACTAGTTGGTACATTCTTTATTTTTATTATTTTTATTACTTGATATTTGACATTGTTTTGTGCATATACTTTCTCAAAAAATATTACAATCAGTTTACAACTACAATATATTTTGCATATATGTATTGATTTTTTTCAAGTTTTTATTAAAACATCTTAATTATGTAATGACTATATTTTATATTTTACAATTATATTTCTGAATGTACTTCTCAGCAAATATAATGAGCACAGACTTTAATTTCAACAAAGAATTTCTATTACTGGTTTAATTTTCGATTTTAAAATATAGAAGTAAACAAAAAAAATTGAATTTTCTAGCCATACTAAACATTATTTTGATATCTCTTTTCTAAACAACTAAATAATCATATTTATGTATATATTTATATATATATGTTATTTTAATTTTTTTGACATCTTTCATGTATCGTATATAATATTAACAGGAGCCTAGCTGCACATAAATTTTGAATCATAAAAAATATCATTTTGTTTTATAAAAAATTCTACTTCAGCAATATTATTTACACTAATTATTCTTCTTAGATTTAAAAAATTAATTAATTAATTAATTAATTAATTAAAATACATCTACTAATAAATAATAGACTAGCTTAAATAATTTTGAAACAAAACTTTGACAATCTTGAACATAGTCTTAAACTAATGTTTAAAGTATTTTTGACTACTTTAAATATGTTGTAATTATTCTATATGTGTTTAGATGGTGGATCAATCAAGTTATTGTTTTAATTCTTACAATGCTCTTAACCTGTTTTATACAATTCTAATATGTAATGAAGGAAGATGTGATTTTTGTTCAATGAAATCCATTTAAATTTCTTGATTGTGTTCATGTCTAGGTTTATATATATATATATATATATATACACACACACACAATATACATGTACATGCTATTGGTCTATATTTATTATAATTGAATGATTGAAATTAAAATAAAGAATCAAACACAATCTCTCAAATAACAGTGCCCATTTGTATATTTGCTAATAATATATTTATTAAATAAATAATCTTGAAATAATTATCTTTTAGTGAGGATATTTAAGTATATATGTTTTTAATTTGTAATATATAATTTCATACTACAACTTTTTCACCAATAATTAATCTAATCTTTAAAATTTAAATAAGATTTTTGCATTAAACCATGACACTTTTAAATATAAATCTTATTAATATTATTTAACAAGCATAAAGAAGATGCTATGCTCTCTTAAACCTTTAAATGATTTATAGAATATATCTAATCTAAAGAAAAAACTACATTTGGTAAAATTGTCCAATATTTAAATGTTATTTGGGTAGACTTGTTAAAAGTTACAAGTTTGTTTGAATAACACTAGTATAAATATAAAAACAATATGCGTTAAATTTCTATAATATGAAATATACACTGAAAATTACAATCCTCCTTTTGTAATGAAAACCACAATAAAGATAAACATGATTTTTACATATCATCATACTGCTGGAAAACCATCCCTCACATGCTTAAGAAGAGGTTGGCCTAACCAACATAAGACGTGCATATTCGAATATCAGTGTTCGATTGGCTTTCATGAAGCCAAACTGAAGACCGTAACACTCCAAGCTTTAAATATGCTGATCAAATGAGTAGAAAACACCGCCGTCAAAAAGAGAAATGTTCTTGGACAATTTATTCAAGCATTTGCTGAAGCCATCACAGAGTATCGACCTAACACGTACCCAGATGACCTTCAAGGGTACCAGCCAACTGCCTGAGAAAGAGAGGCTTCATGTGTTAAGGTGATGGGAGGAATGAATCCGCTCCAGAAAGAATGCTCCACACTGAGGTATTCCAGAATCAAAGAACTGAATTCTACACCCACTGCTACTCAGGATAAATTGCTTCTGAGGAATGACTCCATAACCTACTTCAAAATGTATTGAAGAAATCTTACAGCTCATTTCTATCTCCTTTAACAAGTAGACTTGAACTATGTGTTCAATCGTTAAAACCATTTCGTCAACTTCATTGATGAGCTGAGACATGCATAGGGAGTTCGAAAGAACATTACACAAGCCACGATTGAAGAAGCTTTTTCTTGAAAATCAGATGGCGACGTGTGCGAAGAGTCTCGCAGCAACCGTGCAACACCAGCTTCTCCATAGAAGCTTGAAGACAAAAATCATATGCCCTTTCTGATGCACAGAGCAGAACAAGGTGCAGGGGGTAGAATGCAAACCAAATGAGGACCTGCAGGACTACGGCTCACATGAGCACGACCTATGTTCACCAAGCGCAAGGCAGGGGGATGAACATGACCTGCCACCAAAGGTACACAAGCCATTGAGAGAACAATGCGGGAGCCAACACTTGGAGACAGAGAAATAAAACCCTTTCGTCTTCCTGCAATCATCCAGTAATCTTCATTTGCTTTGAGCTCATAATACAAGTCTTCGGAGTCCTGCAAAATGAACCCGTATTCTTAGAGACTTAAGGTAAACACTTTGACGAATCTCAAAATCTTTTCCATAAAATGCGTTTCTGCAGGTATGTGGACGAATATACAACTGGTACCCAAGCAACCCCATCTATATGAAACAAGAACAACAAATTCATAGCTTTTAGCTGCCAAAATACAGGTGGGTTATGTCCTCTATGGTCAAATTTTCACATTCAAGTTACAAATTGATTATGGTTTACATACATCATGCAAGGATAAAACTTGGCCAACATCCTCAAACGAAGCAAACGCTCCTATAATATCATTCTCCCACTTAACAATCGTTCGCCATACCTCAGCACTTTGCTAAAAAGGCAGAGAAATTATCGAACATGCACAACTGATCAAAAACAAAACAAAACAATCCAAACCTGGTCACTGTGTGTCCCAGGTAAGACGTTCTTCTCTGTAAAATCGTGTTGCTGAGCTGCAGCCCAACCTTCCTTGAGCCTCTCAACACGCCACTGAAACACAACTTGCTGTCCAACGCGGGGGCATTGGGAAGGAATGGGGAGCATGCCAACAGCCACCAGTTGCTCCAGAACTGGCATTATGAGGTGGAAACTGCTTGAAAAATTTAAGTAGCTTTCACTGCTTGCGACTCCATCTATCACAGGGGGTTGCACTCCAGCTTCATGGTTTCCTGAAATTTTATATTGAATGTTAAGACTACTCACTTGTCTTTGATGTGATGCACCAGAACCGTTCCCAAGAAGACAATCACCTGTTGATAACATCGAAGTGTTGGAGTTAGAAACAAAGCATCAAGAATTGAGGAGAAAATAGACATCAAGAATGCGTTGATGTTTCTGAATTGGTCACATTGTCACTTGGTCCAAGTCAGTCTGTCCCTCTAGGCTCCTGCACCTGGCGAATGAGGTTGTAGTAGACTAACTCAGTAATTGAACGAAATTCAGTTTGTATCAAAAACAAAAAAAAAAGGTTAAATTAGCTACTTCGTACTCACCGTCTTTTGTTGTAACTGAATCTGAGCGAATTGCAAAGAGGAGTGCACACTCAGACAGGGCTGAGACTGAGAGAGGCAGAAGCCATGAAGGAGTAGGGTACCCCTCATGATTATTGACATGAGCAAAACCCGGCTGTAGTACTAAGTTGGCGCTTTTAATTGTCACAGCCGATGCCATTTGAGAATTCAAGGTGATCTGCAGAATGAATTTATCCATCAGTGTTGTCTATATTCTACATGACCGAGATATGATAACCAACCAAGAGATCAGGCTATAATTCCTCAGCAGGCATCATCAATTACAGTAACAAATGACGCTCCGGCCACTTCCTTCATGGCGACCATGCATTGAAATATCGAGAAGCAAATGCTTGATGTGTACATCCCCGCTTCACAAGCACATAACATATTCAAGAAGTGCCGATAGCAAAAAGGTACCTGCAAGAGGAACCTCCCATCGTTCCCTCTACTGACAATGCGAGTAGAAATTCGAAACGGATGAGTGAACTGCAATGAAATCGTTCTGCAGAACATACCAAAATACTGTCAATGTTGTCAACCAGCTCAAACAAAAACGTAATAATACAGTAAACCGCATGTAAGATATCCTAGTCAATTATGCTCCAAGCAGTCTTACCTTTCGTACAAGCGGTTACGAGAAACTCCGAACTCCATCTTCACTTTTAACGTATTCATGCCAAATCTAGAAACAAATTTCCCATTTGAGGGAACATGTCCTTGCCCTAAATTGCCATTTAGTTGGCTTTCAGAAACAAGATCTGCAGCTGGAACAAGATCTTGCAGTTGTGAATCCGATGTTATTGATGGAACTTTCTTTGGAGAAGGAGGGGGAGAAAACAGATGTGGATCTCCAGAGAAATGCGAAATCGAATTATCATCTGAATCCGCTTTGACTTGAATCCATAGCACAGAAGTCACCATTCTGGACCAATAAGGAAGTTCTAAGCTACCATCCTTCATTTGTAATTGCTGAGGCACATCGGCATCAAGATTGATTTTGCCGCTTAGGTGATCATCCTTGTTGAATGAATCGCTGCTGTCGAGAATATCGTGAGAATTTTGAAACTCAGAAATCGCACCATCCGTGTCGGTGTTGAGTTGGGCATTCGCCTCAGCTTGAGGAGCTTTGCTAACGTCTAGTAGAGCAATTTGGTTGGCCATAAATTGTAAATTTGGTCCAGCTGAAATGTGCACATGAGCACCTTCGAGGGAGTAACCAAGAGGTCTAATGATCAAACCTACCCACTGTGGCTCGCCAAAAAGAAGTCCTTTAGCGATTGCTGGTTTGATTTCTACCAATGCTCTCGGTTTAGCAACCTGTACACTCAGCAACCTAGAGTAAGTTTCAAATACATCTAGACTGGAAAAGTGTGACCACATTGCAAGGAAAGCTGCTCTCAAATTCTCGCGGGCACAACGACCATGAAGAATGGATCCTATTGACGATTTCGGGATAATATCAGATAAAAATTACAAGGATGACTTAGACTCTGTAACGCCAAATTTTTAATTTTGCCTAAGAAAGCTTAAGAGAAAGTATAAGAAAATGGTAACAACCTCCAATACAATCCGAATGGGTTTCTCGTTACTTAAATAATCATCGCTATCCGGCGGCCCACCCTTTGAGCTAGCAGCACTTGTAGTACAGTACGTATGCGAGCGCAGTATGACATGTCCAATATGGCCAGTTAGTACACCCAATACATAAGACCCTGGTCTTTGAGGTGGCAAAGTCATTAATACAACATTCTTCCCAGGCTTGAGTACTGGAGTATCCACGCTTTTCACTACCTGCAGAGAGACGGATAATTGAGAAATATGTGAACATGCAAAGTTTGCATGACCGCCCTCAATCAGCTCACTTGTATTCATGAAAACAAGCAGTTCAAGGTGTTGACATGCACTGGTCATAATAATTGTAACAATTTTAACAAAGATACATGAATACGTGGATGGAAACATACCCTGGTTCCTTCGTCAGCAGTAAAAGTGGTCACCAAAGTTAGACTCAAAGAATCCAGAGTGATATCCTCCGGAAACCCACTCCACAAAGTTACCATCAATGTTCCAGGATCACCCTCGCACAGTTCGAGTGGTGGACCCCCTCTTGCAGCGAACGTGATAAGAGTAGACACATCTAATGACACTGGTACAGGCAAACCCCCATGGGCTAGCTTAACGATTTCCGTTTGAATACTTCTTCGATCTTCACCCGATATACATCCTGGATCTAAGGACAAAAGCTTGATGCAAGACGAGAGGTAACCAGCCCAGTCTGATAGTTTTTTCTGGCATTCAGATAGCCGGGGAAGAACTTGTACCAATAAAGCATGCCACCCCTCACTCCCGTAAAGAGCACAAACCTGTTAAACAGAGCAAAGCATATTAGACTTGATGACCATCCAAACGCTAATTTTAAATAGAAATAACTTCATTTGAAAGAGGGATCATATTACACATGACCTTCAAATGCTTCTTTTTTAAGAAAAGAGTGAGCTATTTAAATGTTAATCACTTCAACTAGAAGACTATCAATTTGAACCTTATGGCTTAAGGTTCTTATCATGTATCTACGAGAGATGTAGTGAAGGCTTGCGATCTATCCTCTATAACTGTTAAGTGTTAAATCCATCGTAACAATTAGAGAGGATCGATCAGAAGCGAGAAGAAAAATCAAAGCGCTGTGTAACAGAAATGATAACCAATGTTTAGAGAAGTTACCGACTTAAATCGAATCCAAACATCACAAGGCATGACAATCCCATTCTAAAAGATAATGCATGCACACAAAATTACTACTTTGATGCAAACAACTACACCTTCTCATAAAGCTTCGCAGCAGCATCCAATGCTCCACGTCGGTAATGTACAGCTGCAACTTCACCATCTAAGACCAGGCCGTGCCTTTTACGCCAAGATCGATGGAAATTGTCAGCAGCGGACCGGGTAAGGTCCAGGAATAGATCCTGTCAACGAAATGGTCAACAATTTGCGTGGAAAAATAGCACAACGATCATGGATAACAGAGGCAATAATCATGAACAAGCAACACGTTATTGACACTTATCGTATTAGCAAAGACTTAGGAAGTAATATCTCACAATCCAGTTAGGTCTCTACCATGTCTCTACCAATCAATGTGAAGTGCCAAAAAGAGCAGAGAGAAATAAGGCTAAAAGTAAGGCGTACTCGTTAAGACATACTTCTAATATTTCATACCAAAGAACTGGTTTGACAACAAAGTCCAATAAATTCCATCACGATTCAGGTCAAGGAACGATGCCCGCATTTACCTCAAATCCTTCAACGGATGACAGAGCCTTGCGTAGAGTTTCATCACTAATGCTGGTCAATAATGCATGTTCTGCTGCTGCTTGAACTTCAGGCAGCTTCATTGGGGGTTCTATGCTCATTTGATTCTTCAAAGTTTCGGGTGTTGAAGAATGGACTTCGGAATTAGAAGCCTCAGGAGTTAAAGTAGGTAATGGATCACCAGCACCATCTGCAGCTGGACTGCCATTAATTTCCATATTAGGCAACAAAGGAGCAGAAGCTATACCAATATTTTCAAACCTCGAGTCATGGAGAGAGAGCAACACTTCGATAATCAAATAATATTTGATCCTATAACCTTACTGTGAAAAGTAAATGTATTAGGAGATTAGTTTGATAAGTACTAATTACAAGCATCTCTCCCATAGGGACTATACCAGCAATATTCTTGGGCAGAATCTTTAAGAGAATTTGGAGTAAAAAACTTTGAAAACTAAAAACAGGCAGGAGGGAAACTTTAAAACGTTCTTCTCACCTTTCTTTGGCAGAGAGTCGGCTCAAATCCAGCATCTCAGCCAAGCTACCAACTGAAAGTGATGACCTCCTACGGTTGGCCTCGCGGAGTAGAACAGTTGGTGAAAGAGAGAGTTGTCTTCTAAACCTTCCAAAACCTTCCGATAATTTGGGAGGAGATACCTGCATAGTTTCACATTGCCAACGTTGATAGAACTTCAGACTCCTGATATAATTCGCAAGAAATCTTACATTTCAAGATACATCAACATTGTGAAGCACATAACAGTGAGTACCTCTTCTTTTGCTTGTATCAGTGAAAAATCAGAAGGAACAGCAGGCCAAACAGCAGGTTTCGGCCATGGCAACATGCTCAATGCTGCACTGCTCAGATAATCATTCTCCAAATGTGAGTGAAGAAACATATTTTGCGCAAAGTTGCACACAACTCATCAATATGAAAGACTTACGTTCCGTGTAAAATGAAAAACTATACGAGGCTCTGTGTTTCATGCACAGTGCTTAATAGACTTCTAGGTAAAGATTCAACCAAGAGGATGCACTTGACTGAAAAGACAACCACGATAAGAAATTAGAATACATGCTTTGTAATAAGCTTTATTCACCACATACCCCGATTAGAATTATCAATACAATGAAAAATTCAATCTTAAGCCTAAATTTATGCGTTGAGTACCTATTGCAAGGACTTGTCTCGATGTTGTGACCATATCCAATCAAGTCTGCCAACCGCATAAGCTGCAGAAGGAATCCAGAATTCTGTGTAAGCGAACCATCAAAGCTAGACATTTGATAGCACCGTATATGTATAAGGATTGATCTTTGCAACAACATCCACAACATCCTTTGTGTGCTGTATATCCACACAATATATACACACAAAAACAAGACAGTTCAGCAAAAATCCGAAGGTTAGCGAGGAAGTATCAGCTAAAGGTGCTGCTCACGATGACATGATCTAGAAAATTACTTAGATTCACAGTCTTAAAAGATGCAATAAACTTAATTGATTGTAAAGTAATCATATACACAAGAGCTGTTCTACATCTAAATGAAAGAAAGAGTGATAAAGACACCTTTGTTCGAGCATATGAGTATAAATCACCCTGAAGTCGATGGAAATCCTTCACAGTCCCTTGTGACACAATCGATGCGGAAAAGCGTTGACTAGTAGCTTTCACTAGCGTAAGACACGCAGTGATCACCCAAATTTCCCGCATACAGAATGGCAACTCCTTCTGATAGACACAAATAATCACCAATGAGTGAGCGAACACTTCATATACATCCAGCCAGAAAAGTCCCTGGACAATCCACAGCTGTTCAAGAGACGCATTGCTGTAACAAAACTCGAAATGTTTGGGCACCACTGAATAAGGGGAGGTACTTTTAACACAGTTGAGCTACCTTCACAACAAAAAAAGCATTTAAGAACAAGATCGAAATTAAATAATATAAATCGATCTTTTCTTGAAACCCCAGGAATGTGAACTTCAAGTTTCTGCAGCAAGCGTAAGCGAAGACAGTAGTAGCAGAAATTATTCCAGGATCGAAGGGAGAGTCAATCCGAGCGAACGTATAAACAACACATGAACAGAGCAGCACACAAAGGACCTGCTCCCGAGGCTCTAGAGTGCATACCTCATGTTGTGTAAGGATTTTGGCGAAGGAAATGATAAATGAATGCCCTCGGCCAGAAACCTCCGCTGGGCGTTGAAGATCAAAAAGCAACTGAACATCCAATACACCAGATGTAAGCTCTCTCTAAGTGCAAGAGAGTCTCATAGAAGCTGAATATGTGAAATTCAACATTGAATTACATGACATGAATGTTCTAATGACACCTACCAACAAGGGATGCTAAGGATGAAACAGACTGAAGGGAAATGAATAGAGATCGCCATTGCTTTGCAAAGAACCTAATGGTTTGACTGTATGATCATTTGTAGTTACGCAATCAGCATACTTCATGATTTTAAGTAAATTTTTAAAAATACTCGCTAGCATTGGTCTCAAGCATAAGAATAGAAAACTCAGGAAAATTCAAGATCTGAAAATATATTGTGCAGTAGATATGCTTCCCCCAGCAGTCATTGAAGATTAGTTCATTGTGCAATCATACACAAGAGAGCTAAACCATAAACTAAGAAATAAACGTTACATTCAAGTGCGGGTACTCCTGCAAAAACACACTTCACAGAAGAGCTTTTACCGATGCTTGACGAGAGAAGAGGTACTGTCGAAAGTCAAACTCCCGAACAGCGCCATCCGCTGCGAATTGATTCACCGACTTACGAGTACCATCAAGTAGAGCCGCACAGTCATCACCAGCATCTAATCCACCAAATTCTAATACATTCGCATGCGGCACATTCACTGCAGCAGATAATTTCACAACCACATAAGCGTAAAACCATATATTCAGCATACACCTCCAGTCACAGGAAGTGCAGGTATAGGAATCCCCATACTTCAGGTGGTTGTTCAAGACCAAGTCCAAAACTTGCAAGAGAACAGTCCAAATGCATTCACTGTAAAACCATGCAAAACAATTTTATACAGGAGCAAGTACCTTTTAATACGCAAAATGTTGATACCATGACAAATGATACAAAACAGTGATTCATTAAAGAATTAAAATTCTCACTTATATAAATAACTAATTCACAAAAAAAAATTAGAAACACAATCAAATAAAAACGCATCCAACTTTGTCTCGTCCCTGAAATCAATAATTTCAAAGCAGTTGAAATTTCCAAGCAGCACATAATTCCAACTCAAATGCTCGACTACTAACTGTCCATCCGTAAAATTTATAAGTGGTATTATCAACGGTCATGAACTAACTCACCGATTTCTGTGTAAATTTGCTCTAATTCATCATACTCACGGAGAGCATCCTCCCGTAAACTTGCCATTTCAAACATGAAGGCTAAGCTTTCCTGCAAGTCATAAAATCCGAAAAAACAATAGAATGTTGTAAATTTAAACATAAGACAGAAAAGGAAGTTAAATATCAAGAAAAGACTGCAGAGGAAAATCAAAACCACTTCTGTTGCTTGCTCACAACAACAGATTGCAGGATCTGTTTCTCACCTTCACTGTGAAGAAATTGGAAAAATTCCAAGCAGGCATGAACCGATTTTCACTCAGCTTGCGAACCTCCTCCTCGTAGTACAGCACCCGGCGATCCAGTGTATAACGGATACACTCCACAATCTTTAGCTCAATTTCCTCCCACACAGATGTATCGCCACCGTACAGGTCAACTTTACAACATCTGCTCCACAAGAATGTAAAACAAGTCATTTACAAATTAAGGAAACACATAAAGAACTCTAAAACATGTTATTGTAAACAGGATTAACGTTTACGGGAAAGAAGACAGTCAATTAAAGACTGAATTGTTGTGATTGTAAAGAAAGGAGTCATGCGAACTAGCTTCCAACACTACAAGTACCTCTCCCTCTTCTTGGAGCTGAAATCACTTTCAATCCTGCTGAAAACCCTCTTGCTAAGCTTGACAGTGTTGTCGGTAGTAGCTTTGGAAACAAACACAATGAACCACTCATGATCCTCAGCCTGCACAATGGTTTTGAGGCGTGGTTTTAACAAGTTCTTGTACTCGTCAAGGTCCTGCAGAAATGAGGAGGTCGAAATATTACTTTTCTTCCCAACAAACATAGCCAAAAATCTTCTTACGTAAGCCCATCTGGAATAGTTTGACAAGTTATTTTACAGTCCGTCACAAGTAATAGCTCAAATGACCAAAATGCACTACCTTTAATATAGCTCAGGAAGATCACTAAACCATAGAGTTCAGAAGGTCAAATTTCACATCATACGTAGGTGTATCAAAACAAGTCTTAGCATAAACCAACAGCATCAGATGATAAAACATGCTGCTTGGCATGTCAAGGAATTTTTGCAAGTTGTTACACAAAAGGAAATCTTGGAAGAATCTAGACTCACATCACATGTCACTAAAATGACCCATGCGTAGGGCCGACGGAATCCTGAAGTTAAAGACGATTGCTCCCCAGGCAACCCCCTACGCAGACGTGCATCAGTAGTTTGAACAAACTCCACAAGTAGCTTATCAACCAGCACGAGATTCCGAGCTTTATTATTCAAGCTTGCCTTCTTGAATGGCACACGAGCCTCGAGATTTCGTCTAACAGTCTCCCATAAGTCATTTACATCCTCAACTGCACAAAGGAGAAAAGACACAAATAAAGAGATAAGCGAATGAATAAAACACTAATATTTAAAACATTGGCTGACCTTCAACCTCACATGTTACACGCACTACGTAATGAAATCTTGTGCATCCACGCTCTAAACTAATATTGCCAATACAAAGCAATCAAACAATGCCTAGAAGAGGCTTGATCGAATAATGAAGACTGCAAATTATGAGCAGATATATATTCCCCCCAAACTTAAGACACGGAATAATGGAGCTAAAGTTTCAGCATCTTTCGTGTTGCAAGCTGATAGCGAAAGAATACTTCGACTAATAGAGATGATAACTCGACACTATTAATGCACCCCCTCTTCATCAACAAGGTTCATTTTAATTACTCAACGAACAAAAATGAAAACTTGTTAGACAGCACAACTGCATCGAAAAATTGCAGATCGCTTGCTTTTGGTCGTCTGCGTGCACATGTTTAAGGTAATCGATGTATTGGAATCCATATACCAGAGTGGCACTAGAGCTGTACAGTTACAGTAGTCACATTGAGTTGCCAAAACCATCTGTAGAAATCCTATTCTTCGTAGACACTTAGCCCAATCGACAGGTGAGATGCCGGATCATCAATGGAGACTACATACTGAATACATACAGAGACCAATTTACTCTTCATCTCAATTGTTTGTACTGTCTATATGAGCACCCTAGAAATGCTACAAGGGAATGCTGCACGTAACACACAACCAAGAACAAGTGCTTAGCAATAACATAACGAGATAAAGGTAAATTAAATTGAAAAACCGGCGGCATCGCAGAGAATTTTCAATTACAGATGACCTCACTACAAAGGCACGGGTTGTTACGGCCAATAAGTCCCTTCGTCTAACATACCGGGTACGGATAATTAGGTTAGCGACGTTGAACCTTACACATGACTTCTGCTAGAAGTATTGCAAAAGGGGGGGGGGATTGCTTCAGAAGTAAAGAATAAAAGAACGTACTGGCCACAATTAGCCGCTCCGAGGAATTCTTAGACATCGGAGGCCGAGGCAGGGGAGGAGTAGCCATAGCAACCAAGTCACCAACTCAACTTCTGCTCCTTGTGACAGTTCTTATCGCGATTAGTTCGCGACCAACTACACATCATTCCCGGAACACATGGCTGCGGAACATTCGAATGAATGAACGACTTCCAAATTTTCTCAGACAATGATCGCTCGCTCCATTACGCTTGCAACGCTCATCACGTGGTCAGATGCCCACTAAACACCAAACACACTTCCCAAGTCGGTAAGAAACCATCAAGTCCTCGACTAGTAATCACAACATTGTCCAGAAGGTGGCACATCATCGAAACAACCTAGCCGTCCACCCTTGCACTTAGAAAATCTGCCGCAATCAGAAAACAGAGTAAGAACCTTCGGATGCCTTAAAACTCACCCGTGTGAGGCCACCGGTCCACAATGCCGAAGAAAACCTAGAACGAACAGCAGCTAACACTGACAACTCCAATCCACACTCCCAAATCATGACCATAAACCTCGCGACTAGGACAAGCAGAAGGGATGCTTGATCCAGCACCATGCACACTCATTACGACCTACTTATAAAAAAACAAAAAACCAAAACCAAATCAACCGCAAAGCAATCGACGAACACACACACATACGGAGAGAACAAATTCCACGCTGTAGACTACTACCCAGAAACCCCCCGAAAAAACAGAAGCGTTTAGACGACATCAAACTTTAAAGATGTGTCCTCTGGCAGCTAAAAGTGGGCTCCTCCGCCGCAAGAGACGGTGAATCTGACAATCAAAATAGACGGAGTGGATACCGCTCCGTTTCGCTCGCGCTTGAAAACGTGCTATAGACTGCAGATGTGACTTCCAAGCGCGTGACCACGCGGTCGATGAACAGAAGAGTGTAAAATCGACTCACAGAGAACTATTCTCATCCGTCGTTATTTTCCGTCGAATATTCCTTTTGCCATTTCCAGCTACAATATCGTGTGGGAAAATGGATTATTAGGGGATTAGTTAATTCTGTAGTACTGGAATTTGTATTTAATTTTCTTTAATCCAATATAAATTAAAATTATAATAAAAAATAATCTAAATTTTCAACTTTACAAAAATAATAGTATATAATTTGAATTGGTCTTTTTATTATTTCTCAAGAAAAAAACAATTAAATATTAATAAATAAATTTATTATAATCATATTATGTAATATTTTTTCTATCAAGAATTTCCATATATTATTATTTTTAATTTAGATTTAAGATATTGATATACCTGATTTAAATTATTCTTCAATATAGGGTAATAAAATTAGAAAAATATAGAATCAATCCATTGAATCATTAAATCAACCCAAGGCATGTACAAGCCGCTGTGAACTACCCAAAAAGATTGATTCTTTAGCGAACAAGATCAAGATCATTGGTGAAGCACTTGTAGTTCATAATTTGACTGTGCAAGATGAGTTGTAAATCATATAGGTGAGTGTTAAATCAACAATTAGAAAAGAAGAAAATTCAAGTATTGTTTATTGAGTTCACAAATTTTATTTACTTTTTGAATCTCAAAAATAGTCACAAAGATTAAACCATGGAAATAAGATGAGTTTATTGAAGATTTGTATGGGTCAATTTAACATTCTTCTAAAATCAATCATGCACATTTTAAATTAAGGCCAACAAAAAATAAATCATAATAATACAATAACAACAACTATGTTATGAATATATTTAATCACACAAAATTTGACCTACAAAACTTTGGTCTACGAGATCTTTTATATTCTGTGTATAATTGACACAAGCTTAATATGCTCTTTTACTTATTTATTTGTAAGCTTAAAAGAGTGCAAGTATGAATTACATATGTGTGTATATAGAAATATATAAAAACATATAAATATACACATTGAATCATAATAAAATTGATTGTGAAGTTGATACATATATATTTTTCTTATTCATACGTACATACACCCACACATGTATAATCATGCATATATATTCATTCTAAATTATAAATTTAAAAATATTCAAGTGATGTTGGTGAGTTTAAGACAGAAACTATATATATATATATATATATATACATATATATATACATACATATATCCATATATTTTTAATAGATTAATTAATTGTGAAATTATTGCAAATAGATATATTGTGGTTTTAATTATTTAATTATTAAATACACTACATTTAAATTATACTTTGCATTGTGGTCTCTTGTTACAAGGATGGATTTTTTTTTAGGAAATTTGTACAGCTGGAAATAATGTTCACAATACTGTGTGGTCATTGCCTCAAGATCAACCAACCCATGAATAAGTGGCACAATTATAAATGAGTTTTTTTTGTTGCATAGTTTATTTATATTTTTAGTTTATCAGAGCGAATTATAAAAAGAAAAGGAAAAAGAAAGTTGACATCAACTTCATTTTTAAAAGTAAGAAAGCATGAAGTACTACATTGAAACAGAATATTTACTGAAATTTACAAAACTAGAAATATTTTTAATATTTTAGTTTTGATAATGCCAGTCAAAACAGAGTCGTAAATATAAAATGTCAAATCCATTATCATTAACAATTTAATTACTGAGATAAAAACCCTCTTCAGCATTTTTGGATCTATTTTTACATTTTACAATTTAAAATATCTAACTATTGTATTGATTTTATTTACGTATGCATAAGTTTAATAATCACAGAACTGCATGTAAATCTTGAACAACCACATGTGATAAAAAAAAAATTTAACTATTTCGAATAGTCCCAAGCCAAAAGGAGGTAAAGATATTCATCCAAAAGCATTCCATGTGCACACTTAGCCAACATTAAAGCCAAAATAACTTACCTCCTTTTAAACACAAAATGTTTCACCCACAAAAAGAAAATAAAATAAAAGTGAGGATATATTTAATATGTGTCGATCACCTTGGATATATCTCCTTCAGAAATAGATAATCTTAAATTTTTAAATTATTAACTTATTTTTCATATTTACATTTGTTGATCAAGGGTATAAAATAAATCACATTTTTGCCATGGAATGGTTCTATTCACGGTGATAGGGAACCCAGAGCATGGAGAAAGGGCCTCATGCGGAATTAGGGTATCACAGGTGAAGCCGTGCGGGTTGTGTGAGCCCAGGGCCAAGAGGGGCTTTCGTTTCGGCGTAGCGCGAGGTTTAGGGTTTAAGCCGAGAGCTGAAGGATTTCGTCGCAGCGTTGTTCACCATGGCGGAGCAGGACGCGATCGGGGCTGCGGCCTTGCGCGACATGAAGCAGGGACTCGATGAAATCACTGAAAAATTACGGCTACTTACTGAGGAAGTGAGGTCAGGTCAGTTGCCCACCAAGAATGGCATCAGTTATCTCGAAGTGAAGCACCTGCTTCTGTTTAGCTATTGTGAAACCCTCGTCTTCTACATGCTTTGTAAAAGTGAAGGTCGCAGCATCCAGGACCACCCTCTCTGGCAACGCCTGGCCGAAATCAAATTCGTTCTAGAAAAGGTGAGAATTGTCTCAATACTCCAAATCGTCTTTGCAGGCGTCTCGTGATTTTGGGTTGCTCGGGAAAGGACATTGGGGTAATCCACCAATGTTCTGAATTTCTAATTTATTACCGTATGAAGGAACAAGGCACTGATGGCTGTTTAATGTTTGGCTTGGCAGATTCGTCCCATTGATAAAAAATTAGAATATCAAATAGACAAATTGTTAAGGGCAGGTCAGACTCCAGCAGGAGATGCCACAGGAGATGAAGTTGGGAAAGAAGACGCGCTGGCTTACAAGCCAAACCCCGACATGCTCGTATCAAAGCTGGACCAGATGGCGGAGGTTAGACTGTTCTGTCATCTTGTTTTCCCTTCCTTGCTGAAGCAGTTATTGGTTAGCGGCCGTTCATTAGCGCGGTAGGGCGCGAACTGGGACAAGCACCTAATCTTTGGGATATGCATTCAAGGAATTTATGTTTGGCGTTGTCAGCTGTTGTAAAGTTAGTTTGCAACACGGATGCTAAATCTGATTGTCTTTGTTGATTTGTATGTAAACAGGATGGTGGAGGAGTTTACAGACCTCCCATGATAGCCCCTGCAGCCATGGAAGAGAATGGTACTGGCCGTGATCGGCGTTCAAAAGCTCGAGCTGAGAAAGATATGGCACGGCGTGCAGCCCGTAGTTCTTTCATTAAAGAACTGGCCAACGAAGTGGAAGGCAGACCTGAGGAGGTAAGATGTCTATTTCGGAGTTTGTGCTTACAGCATTAGTTGCTGCTGTAATTCCCTACCCTTAGTATGGTAGTGACTTGTCTTATTTGCTTGCTTACCATAACCATCATCGTGGTCTTACGCTTTTTCGTGTTTTGAATAGGTGCGCGAGACTTTGGGTACTGAGAACAAGGAAATGCTGAGAGATATAGCACGTTTGGAGAAACGTGCAGAGCAGGAAGAAGAACTCTTTGCTCGTGTACCATTAAACAGAGAAGAGCGTAGGAAGGTCAAGAACTTGAAGAAAGGACGAAGCGGGTATGACTTTGTTTTCTGTTTTTTGCTTGATGCATCTACTTGGTCATCAGCTCTTTCTTCTTGATAAAGTGTTCATGTGAGGCGATGGAACTGAGACTCTATTTTTGAGTTGAGGTTTTTTGATTGGTGGCTTTGCAAGGTTTTCCACCGTTAGTGTTTTGGTTGCTTTAACTGCAGGTATTTTGACCATTTGTCTCTGTTCAAGGCTATGTTATGCATAACAAATTTCGATCCTTTTCTCCTTGTGAACAGGCTGTTGGGTATGCTCGATGATTTTGAAGATGATGTTGTTGGTCTTACAAATATGGATGAAGTACCACAGCATCAGTCAAATTGGCCCTCAAGTGGCAAGTCTCCAAAGAAGAAATCAAAGGTATGAATCAACGTCATCAGCAGTGTCATTTTTGAATGTAACAAACATGACTGTTATCTTTATCTCAATGAAAAGACCATCGTGCCAAGAAAGAAGATCTCCTGTTCTTTAGGTATGATGTAAGGCATACAGTGGATTTAAAATTCTGTTCATGAGAGGTTCGAGGGTTTTCTTTGTAAATCTTTTTTTAATGTCACTCGATATTGAGATTGTTGTATAAATCTGCAGTACAATGGTAATGACAATGATGCTCCCGAGGACTTTGGAGAACGACCCAGAAAACAGAAAGGCAAGAAGGCCCGTAGATAGATCAAAGGTTAATCATTTGCTATCTGGCTTTATTTCGCGCTCTTGATCTTTTCAGCTGTTCGTTTACTTGATTTACTCATTTACATCTTTTTAATTTTATGGTTCATATCGTTCGTGTATTTAGTTCGGTTTTGAGTTGCTTATTTCTGAGATTTATGTGTTTTAATTTTTACGATGTTTATTTTGCTTTAAGGTTTCCAGATCTTGTACCGAAATAAAGTTGATGACAAATTGAGTTGGCCCTGTGCAGCTAACAGGAAAACTTCTGGTTTCAAATGACGATACCAGCCATCAGCTCCTTGGTTATATTCTCGATCACCATTGCCCTCGCTACTAGATTTGGTCCAGAATTTTGGCGATATTTATTGGTTGGAATCTAACTAGTCAAGTCAAGTCGGAGTTCATTTTTGTAGTTCAATGAGGTGATCCAGGTGACACACATCGATATGTCAAGGAATGCTGACATGAAATATGTACTCTTGATATGCTGGTATAAGAAAAGAATTGCTTTAGAAGGCAGCGTATGCCAGGTTTAGTTCTAGCGGCCTTTCAGAGTGAGTACTCAGAGATCGGGCTGTTCTTTTCAAGTTCTTTTCGTAGTGATTATCATATTTAGGTGTCTCAACGGAAATCGTCTCAAAACAGCATTTGGGCCCAAATACTAACGCGAGGACCTCAGCTTTCACAGATCATATGCTTCACTCCTCTACACGTTAGTGACACATTCATTCCTTATTAGATGTTGAATTAGCGTTCTAGTGTTTTGGGTGGCTGTCAAGATCACAGTCCGTTGCAGACCATCTTTGTCAGCCCTGAATATTTGTGTAGATTCTCACTAACATCATTTTAAAGACGGCGGTGGATGAGTCGCTCTTGAAATTTCTAAGGACGAATCATCTATCGTATTGGCTTGGAATTGTTGATTTCTGAATTCCTTGTCACCCTGTGGTACCCTCATTATTGCATGAACTATGTCCCTTTCCATGTCAGCAGTTAATTTCTAGTTTATTTATTTCCCACTCTCATCCACGTGGTTGCTCTCTGGGACACACAGCTGCTTCAAGCAGAAGATGAGGGGCCCCGCCTTGAAACGTTTGTAGGATCCATGTTTCTAATAGCGATTCACGCTTTATCAGGATAGTTGGGAATAGAGTACTATCCTGAGATGGAAAGGTATCTAGTCCACTTACAAGTCCTATATCTCCTGAATGTGCAGAAAGAATCGTGTCGTCCACCACGAGAAGGCTGCACGATTCCCGAAAGGATGATTTTGTTCGAGATGGAAGACTGCCTGGCGAACCATATTCACAGGCATGAGGAGCTTCAGATTACAGGGTGTTAATCGAATGCTGAGGAAATGAGTGAGACTCCACACTTCGTCATGTTCTTCAGATCAAATTTGCACAGCAATATTTGTTCTCTGATGCTGTCTACAATCGAACTGTTTCCAACTTTCCCTCAACCATCCTTCAGTTACCCTTATTGGACCACTATTTGATCCAACTTTCCCTCAACCATCCTTCGGTAACCCTTATTAGTCCACCATTTGATGGGATCCAGGTATCATTACAATTCAGAAAACCTTTCTCATACCTAATTACTCTTCTTTCTTTCTATGTCACTCATGTAACAAAATAAGATTATATATATATATATATATATATATACAATATTGTTAATGCCATTACAATTTTTGTTATTGCCACCATAATTTATGCTATTGTCACAACTTGCCATCTACTACAATTTGCCATCTACCACCTACATCCACCTAAATAAAAAATATCATATATATGTATAAAAAAGTATTTATATTTAATATTTATGTATTATTAATATTTTGAAAATAAAAATATTCTTTTTTATTAAATTTTTTATTTGAAAAAGATTATTCTAAATGAATACAAAATTTAGAATATCATTACATTAGCAATATTCTCTCTCTCTCTCTCTATATATATATATATATATATAAAGAGCAAGAAACATAAACTATAAATTTTGAGTATAGTTCTTTGATATTGTTTTTGGTTGTGTAGCAAAGTAAGTACAAAAACTACGGCTATTTAGAATTTAGAATTTCTTACCTTCTACAAAAATGCTTGTGGATATTTTCCTTCAATAACATATAATTAAAAACATGAAGTAAAATAATAGTATTAAAAATAGGTGAATGTGGGATCGTGATATATACAATGAGAATATTTTCAAAAACTTATTTCTAAATGCAACAAAGATACAAAAAATCCTTCAAAATTATTATAATTTCTAATGTTATATATATATATATATATATATATATATAGAAGATGAATATGTACTTATCTTAGGCCCTTCCATATATCGTAGATTTTTAAAATTAAATAAAAAATATAGAATTCAATAAATATTATGTTTGTATTAGAATATTAGATTTTCATATTGATATGCTATTTGAATATTTAAAAAATATATAAAAAACAACATTGGTTCAATTTATTTAAAAAGTTAACATACTAATTGAATAAAAATTGAAATAATTCAAAATAGATAAAGATAGTTATAAGAAAAAATATATTTATATATAAATAAAGAAACTTATAATTTTTATTCTTTTATGTATAAATAAGTTATATTAATATATTAATATTAGTATTTTAAAATCTCAAAATTGATAATAGAAATTAAACCTATTTCAATTCTTGTTTAACAATCTTGTATTTTTATTATGTTATCACATGTAAAAATTTAAAATAAATAATAATAATAATTTTAAAAATATTTACTTATGTTAAAACAAGATGGGAGCTCTCTTGGTTGATTTTTTTTTTTTTTTTTTAATTAAAAAGTGTTTTATTTTAAAATTATCATAATTTTAATCTTTGTTTATATGTAATATTAGTATGATATAGTTGAAGATATGTAACTATTTTTTTTATATCTTTTCTAGTAACTTCTTATTTCTAATATATGAGAGAGAATATCAAATCAATCCATCTAAAACTTAAATTGACCCACTTTAATAAATTAAATATCTGTTGTGGTGATTCTTCACAATTCACCAACTTTCTTGTATTGTAAAATAGTCTTCATGTTACTCATTTCTACCTTTGCAACTAACCTTTAACACTTAAATTCCTTACCCCTCTCACCTACTTGCAAAAACAACACATCACCAAATGTAAAATCTTAGGTAATAGTGTGTCAAGGATAAGAATTCGATGAAAAAGAAATTCAGACAAGTAAGCCTTGATTCAAAGAAAGCTAACAAAATATAAATAAATAAGTATGTATATTGAAAGAGAAACTAGAATGGCTATTGCCAAAAGACAAGAAAACTAGAGACCCTTGAAACTAGACTAGAAGCAAGAAAGGAGTTGACAAGAGTGAAGAAGCCTTCACTCTTGTCTCTATATATACTATCTTACTAGGGGCTACGTGGCGACGTTCTATAGGACCTCCAATATGTGTTGACTTTGTAGGACACATGCCTTGACTTACAAGGCAAGTTTTTCTATGTGTGGGACACATAGTTAGCTTGATCTTCAAGCTAACAACATGTGTGGCACATGGCCGACTTGTTGATCATGTTTCTAATCCAAAAAGTCAATTAAAGACACCTATGAAGTCAAAATAGTGTCTATGAAGCTTCTAGGAAGCTTCCATATTAAATACTATAAAATTAACTTATTTTTACTTATTTTTACTTACTTCCATCTATTTGTATATGTAATTACTAGCTTACATGAGTATGTCCATGACATCACCCTCCTTTCTAGGAACGAGTTCCACGAGGAGTCGTCATCATATGTTGATGAAATCTATGATGCGACAAATTGTATTTGCCACATACTCTGATCTTTGTTCTCTTCGAAGATGATTGATAGGGCCTCTCAACCATCGGTAGTATCCCATACTAGGGCGGGAAGACCACCTAGTTATTTGATCATTGTTGAGGCCTTCATAACTTCCTTCGAATAGAACATTTGCAACACCTTCAAGAGTTGTTTCTACCTCTAGCAAAATCACCAAACATCGGGAGTCCCTTCCCAAATCGTGATACCAAACGCATTGTATCTTACCATCTATTCGAGGAAGAACATGTTGTTCTTGAAGATCTTCATCTCGATTGTGTCGTCTTGAAGGTTGTGACAATCGTAATGTCTCTTTCGACAGGTCAGCAAATGCAGGCTCTTGAGTTGAATCCGCTGGTTGTTGATTCTCCATCTCCTGAGCGTCACAACTACAAAGAAGCTACAAACAAGGATTGAAAGTAGAATGATATCTTGCCTAGATCTTGTTTCTTCTATAAAGAAGGTTTTCATCTTGATTTTGATGGATGTTGTCGATGAAAAGCCTCCACCACCTGTGTTGCATTTGCAAGATTCTTTATTGGCTCCCATGTGCATTCACTAATATCATATCCACACCAATGGACAAGATATTCTAATTTATTTTACCGTTGCCTTGAATCTAAGACTTCTTCCACTTCAAACTCTTTATTATTGTCTACTTCTATAAGAGGAGGTGGAGCTTATCTTCTTCTTGGTATGTCCACTCTCTTGTATGGTTCAAGAAGAGACACATGAAATACTGGATGGATTTTTATTGACTCCTGTAGATGTAAACAATATGCAACTGGATTGATTTGTGCAGAAATAGAAAATGGTCTCAGCCTTCGATAGTCCAACTTGTCACAAGGACGAGTGGTTTTGATATTGCCACAAAGTAACCATACCTTATCACCCATGTGGAATGGTGGTTGTTCCTTTTGATAGACATCCGCATTGACCTTTTGATTTTCTTGAGCCTCTTTTAACTGCGCCTTCATCGTTGCATATAGCTCTAATAAATGAATCGCCAAATCTTTCGCAGTAGGATTATCAACTTTTGAAAAGTCAAAAGTATCAAGTCGTGGATGATAACCATAATTAGCAAAGAAAGGTGTTTGTTTTGTTGAAGAATGTATCGTGTTATTGTAAGTAAACTCTGTCAATCGCAAAAGAATTGTCCAATCATCTTGTTGGTAGTTAATGGTACATCTTAAATATTGCTCCAAAACTTGATTAACACGCTCTGTTTGTCCATCAGTTTGAAGATGGAATATCGAAGATAGTTTTATATCGACTTTTAGAATCTTGAAAAGAGTCCGCCAAAATCTTGATACAAATTGAGTTCCTCTATCTAATATAATATCCTTGAGTAATCCATGATAGCGATAGATATTGTCAAGAAAGAGCTTTGCTGTTTCTTCACCTGTGATAGATTTTGTATATGGTACAAAATGTGCCATCTTGGTAAAACGATCTACTATCACGAATATAGAGTCATAAGAACCTGAGATTGGAAGATCCGTGATGAAGTCCATAGAAACAGAAGACCATGGTTGTTCTGGAATGGATAATGGCTGAAGAAGTCCGTAAGGTCAATGACGAGGAATTTTTGATCTCGAGCAAACATCACAAGATTGTATAAAATCTTTCACTGCTTTTCACATTTGTGGCCACCAAAAATCTTTGGATATTAGTTCCAAAGTTTTATTGTACCCAAAATGTCCTGCTGCTGGGAAGTCGTGACGAGCTTGAAGAATACATAAATGTGCTTCTCCTTCTAGAATATATAGGCATCCTTCGAAATAGAGTAGATTGTTCTTGAATTCAAATTTAGAGGGATCATGAGATTTAGAAGAATTATTCTTGATATCATGAACAAGAGGGTCTGAAGACATACTTAATTGGACTTACTTAAAAATAGTTAAATCAACAATCAATGTTGATTTTATTGCTCGAAGATGAAATTATTCTTGCTTCAAGAGAACCGTTCTTTGTTATTCAAAACCTACATCTCCTTCTTTTGGTGCAAGAGAAGAACGTCTAGATAAGGCATCGGACAAACCTTGTTGTTTTCTTGGTCGATAAGTGATGATGAACTCGAATCTTGATAAAGACATGCTCCAACGAGCTTAACGACGATTTAATATGTGTGCTGACATAATATATTCGAGGTTCTTGTGATCCGTATACACCATGATTGGACTAGAAGTGCCTTCTAGATAATGATGCCATTCTTGAAAAGAATCCACAATTGCAAGAAGTTCTTTGTTGTGGATCTCATAATTGATTTTTGCTACTGAGAATTTTCTTGAGTGAAAGGTTGTTGAATGAAGTTTGTCATCTGTTCCCATTTGTGACAAAACCGCATCTAGAGCAAAGTCTAATGCATCTGTTTCCATAAAGAATGCTTTGGAAAAATCAACATGATACAAGATTGGTACAGAAACAAACGCTGTCTTCAAAGATTCAAAAGAAACTTCTACTTCTTGATTCCATTGGAGTTTATCTTTACAAGTCAAGCGTGTAAGTGGAGCTGCAACTCGAGAGAAGTCTTTGATGAAGATCCGATAGTAGTTGGCAAATCCCAAAAAGCATTGGACATCTCTTACCATTTTTGGAATCTTTCAATCTATAATAGTTTGAACTTTCTTAGGATCCATCATAAGTCCATCATTTGAAATGATGTGACTTAAGAAATCGACTTGAGTAGTGTGGAGTACTCACTTTTTTATCTTAGCATAGAGTCCTACATCTCTTAATTTTTGCAACACACCATGAACATGAAGTTCATATTCTTCTAGATTCTTAGAATAGATCAAGATGTCGTCTAGATAACAAACCACAAAATCATCCAAAAACTCTCAAAAAATATCATTCATTAGATGTTGAAAAGCTGCTGGTGCATTTGTAAGTCCAAAAGGCATGACGTTGTATTCAAAATGTTTATACTTAGTTTGAAACGTAGTCTTCTATTCATCTCCTTCTTTCATGCATATTAGATTGTATGCTCTCCGGAGATCTATTTTTATATAGATCTTAGCTTGATTCAGTTGTTCAAGAAGTCCAGATATTAAAGGTAGTGGATACCTATTCTTGATGGTAATCTTGTTGAGTCCTCGATAATCAACATACATCCGCAATGATCCATCTTTTTTCTTCACAAATAGAATTAAAGCTCCTGTCGCAGAGTTAGAATGGCGTATGAAATTCTTGGCTATATTTTCTTCAATATACTCCTTGAGTTCAGTCAACTCATTTTGTGATAAATTTTAGATTGGTCCGAATGGCAATTGTGCTCCTTCTTGAAGGTCAATTGAGCAATCATAGAGACGATGTTTCGGAAGTGTATCTGCATTCTTTTTTTCAAATACATCTTGAAATTCTTGATATTGGCTTGGAATGCTACTTGAATTCTTTCCACTAGTAGAAACCGGTGTGGCATAAATAATATATGGTGATTCTTTCATAGTAGCATGCAAGAAAGCTTTTGCACCTATAAATATGGGTTTAATTGAACTGGACTTATGACTATCTACTTGATTAACTATACTGTTAGTTATACTTTTAGGGAAAGTAAGAGTTCAGAAAATCCAATCTATTTGAGGGTTGTATTTTTCTAACCACGATAAACCTAAAATGACTGGATTAGAGGGAGATCTAATAATATTAAATACTACAAAGCTATTATGACTATTGATTATTACTTCTATAGGAAGGGTTTCGTGAGTAATATCTCCAGAAGACAATGGACGACCATCTATGACTTCTACATGAACAGGTTTAGTTTTCTTTACTAAAGATATGCTATGTCTTTTAGTAAATTCTTCATCTAAGAAACATGCTGAGGCTCCTGAATCTAACAAGGCAGAGGCTTTGTAATATTTAGGTCCTAAAATAACATTTAATGTAAAACAAGGAGAGGACTCTGAGGAGAGAATAGGACTTTTACTAGATGTTGTGCAAGGTTCCAACCACACGGTCCCTATTGTAGGTGGACAAACTCGTTTTTCGACATATTATCTTCTTTCATAGCGATACTCCTCATTTTGTGATTGCATCATTTCTTTGGACAATGTTGAGCAGTGTGCTTTAGTTCTCCATAATATAAATATAATCCTTCTTGACGATGACGAGTCTTTTCTTGCTTAGTAAAAGGTTTGAAATGTACTGCATCAATTTACATATCCTCTACTTTCGAATGTATGTGTTAAAGAGGTGTTGGTATTGCCATTGAATTATAATAACATTGAGGTCCACTTGTATGGTTCTTAGATCAAAATTCAAAAAGATGATTATCGCACTTTACATCAAAATCAATTGCTTGACTCAATGTTTGAGGATCAGGTAAGTTGAGGATTAATTTTTTTACCTCATATTGTAATCCGTAGAGAATCTGGCTAATAAGTGCAACATCATCTCACTTGATATCACTTACAAGTTGTCGAAATTGTGAAGCGTATAACGTTACTGATCGATTGCCTTGTCGTAAAATACGGATCTTATTGGTTGCTACACGAATTGCATCATGTTCTCCATACATGGATCAAAACTCCACCAGAAAAGCTTCTAGATTATCCAATATTGGATCTCGTCGTTCAAGAAAAGATGAAAACTACGATAGTACTGAATCTAAAAGAAGCGTACCAATGAATCTAACTTGCGATCCTGGAGTTGGATAGCTTTGGGGTTGAAGTTCAATCACAAGTTGCACTTAATTGATAAATCCTCGAAACTTGGATCTGGTGCCATCAAACTTCTCGGGTAGGAAAATTCTTGGTTGTCTAACATTTGAAAGGCGTTCCACCATAGGAGAAAGGACATGGTTAGGTGCAGATGTTGAAGCAGATCCAACCATTTCTATATCTTCACTTCCTGCCAATCTTGTTGCTCCTTGTGGTAGTAAATTGAGTTGATGCATCGTAAGCATTAATTCCCTCAATTGCTCTTACATTTGTGCCATTGCACTCTTCATTTCAACAAGTTCTGCGATGATAACAGTTAGAAGAGAGAAGATGTCTAATATCGCTCAAGACAAATAGAAGAGATGACTTGGGAACAAAGAAAATACTAAGGACAATATCAGTTTAGAAGAAGATAATCTACAACTTCTAATATGCTTATATCTTATAAAAAAAAAAGAGTAATCTACTCTTAATCAACATTAGACAAAGCTCTGATATTGTAGGTGTACTCTTGTCAATCTGTCAAGGACAAGAACTCGATGAAAAAGTAATTCAAACAAGTGAGCCTTGACTCAAAGAAAGGTAACAAAATATAAATAAATAAGTATGTATATTGAAAGAGAAACTAGAATGGCTATTGCCAAAAGACAAGAAAACTAGAGACCCTTGAAACTAGAGTAGAAGCAAGAAAGGAATTGACAAGAGTGAAGAAGGCTTCACTCTTGTCTCTATATATACTATCTTACTAGGGGCTACGTGGCGACATTCTATAGGACCTCCAATATGTGTTGACTTTGTAGGACACATGCCTTGACTTACAAAGCAAGTTTTTTTACGTGTAGGCCACATAGTTAGCTTGAACTTCAAGCTAACAACATGTGTGGTACATGGCCAACTTATTGACCACATTGCTAATTCAAAAAGTCAATTAAAGACACCTATGAAGTCAAAATAGTGTCTATAAAGCTTCTAGGAAGCTTCCATATTAAATACTATAGAATTAACTTACTTTTACCTATTTTTATTTACTTCCACCTATTTGTATATGTAATTACTAGCTTACATGAATATGTCCATGACATAGTGTAGGAGAAAAATACAATGGAGAGTAGAGACATATAAGTTGATTAAAGTTTAAAGAGGGCTGATATAATATTTCTCTAGACTAATACTTATAGAATGCACTTCCATTACTTCCAAAAACAATATCCAAAGTGACATGCTCTAAATTTGAAGAAAGCATAAAACCAAAAACTTAGTACCAAACAAAAATGATACAATTAATATACCCAAGACCACAGCTCAATGAGAATTGCGGTCATCACAACGGATGAACAATTAATTACCCCCCCCCCCCGCCTCCCAATCAGAAAGTTATCTTTCAGAGTCACCCGTTGGGGGGACGCTATTCGCCAACTCGACAGTCCACCCTGTAGTGCCAAATCATCCAAATAAAATCCACGTCACGTCCACGTGGTCGTCACGTACACTCACACATACGCGCAGTTGTTGTGAAGACTTTCCCATAGGAAAGGGGCCATAACGAGAGCCCCAGCTGCTGCCCCTGCTGCGAGATCTTGGGCTCAGCTTGGCACTGCACTGATGAGGGTGGGCTTGAATAAGCTTAAGCTTTTGGTCCACACTCATCCTTCCTCGTTATCTCAGACCATTTCATTGCTTCATTGTGGTCGAAATCCAGTTTAGGCGAGAGTTTGAGGTGGAGAAGTAATTGGGTTCCGTGGTTTTGGAGAGGTTGATGCATTTTTGGGAAGTTTGGGTGGAGGAGGAGTTTTGATGATGTGGGTGCAGGGGAAGAATGGCACTAGCGTAATTTCTGTATGAGCGATGAGTGGATTCGCCTCCATTTATGTAAGGAGGAGCTCAGGATTTTTTGTTGTTTCTCATTTGTGTTTCGGGTAAGAGTTGGTGGTTCAGTGTGAGTTTGATTTCGAAGGAGTTGAGAACATGGCCACTTGTATGAGCAATGTTTTAGCGTTGCGCACTGGGAGCTATCAGGCTCTTAAGGAAAGGGTTGAAGTTGAGGAGAAGGGATTCGTTTCTACGGGTGTAGTTCGTAGGCGCAGCATTAGGTCATTGAAAGGTGGGTCGAGGATTGGACCAAGCTCTTTTGAAGCGTGTGTATTGAGGAGCAGTGGAGCCCTTGTAGCTCTGTCCCCTCAGAAGAAGACGGTGGGCTCGGATGCGCTGACGTTTCTTGTGTGCCGTGCCGGTGCGGATGGAGGCCCTTCGGAGTTGGAGCCTTCATCAGAATCGTCAAAACCTAAAGAGAGTTTCAAGCTGTTGCTCAGGCTGGTATGGTTTTTCCTCTACTGTAGCTTTTATTTTTTTTTAATTAGGGGTTTTCTTTAGAATTTGCTGCGTGGAATACATATTTGTCGATGAAGTCATGAAACAAGATCGTTCAGTTTTTCATTTGATTGATGCGAATTCGGCGTATGGAATTCCAACTGCTGTGGTAAGAGTGTTATTTCTTGAAACTTTGTCGTCTTCAGAATTTTGTGTTCTTAAGTTTCATTTCATGTTTCTTGAAATTCACTCAAACCAATATTCCATTTTGCTTAAGAACAATGTCTAGCAGAGGCATCTTCCCATGTTTGAGCCTCGCTGTTGAAGATTTAGTTTCTTTGCGTATCCCGTCTACTTATCAGACATGTTTTATCCTAGAGCAGGAAGGGAAAGTACCCCATACGTGATTTGGTTTCTTGATTTCTTGATTTCCTGCTTTTTTGCAATTCGCACCAAGTAGTTAGAACATTTCTTTTGGCTATCTCTCTAGTCAACTCATAGAGTTCTATAGCGTGAACCGATTTTTGATTTGTAGGGTTCTAAAATTCCTTTCACAGATTGTAAATGCTGCTGCTTATGAGTTATCTCGTGAAATAGACATATGTTGTAAATATTTTATTTATTGGTTCGGTGTAGTTTGAGGGTTTCAAATTATGGAGCCTTGGGATAAAATTATCATATCAAACATCTTGCATGCTCTACTGGAATGTGTACAATTTGGCGATAGATACTGTACTTAAAGAATCATAACCAAACATTGCTCATTGTCGTGATTTTTACACGCAGATTCCAAGACTTTTGCCAGCTACAGCGATTGGAGTTGCATGTTGGTTTGTAAGGGGTCCAAATATTGCTCTCGCTGGTGTTGAGGCACCAAACTTCGTGGTTGGAGGAGAGGCTGCTCAAGGAGGGGCTTTATCTAGGGAGATTGCTAAAGCTGGAGGAGGAGTAGCAGCAAGTGCCTGGACCGGGCTGGTGGCAGGTGGTCTGCACACATTAACAGGGCCGGACCATTTAGCAGCTCTTGCACCTCTGTGCATTGGTCGATCAAGACTTCAGAGTTTTTCTGTGGGTGCTCTATGGGGCTGTGGTCACGATGCAGGTCAAGTCATTTTCGGTATCATCTTCCTCCTGCTGAAAGATAGGTACGTCTCTCTGAGTTTGACTCGAGCTAACGCTGGAGTTTCTGGGAGCAGGTTCAGTCATGTGCTACATTGCCGCTCTCTAGCCCCTCTGCTTTATGCTCACCTGGTTGCATCGGTGCCTTTTTTAAAATCGCAGGTTGCACCTTGGCGTTATTCAAACATGGGCTGCCCGTGTAGTGGGTCTTACACTGATTACCATAGGAGGAATGGGAATTAAAGAAGCACAAGAGATTGATGCAGCTGCTCCAGTCTTAGCTGAAGGGGAAATGCCAGCTGAGCCCGTGAAGAAATCCGTTGGTCCGGCGACTTTCATAACTGGCATTGTCTACGGATTACAACCTGATGCACTCTTGATGATTTTGCCGGCACTGTCTCTCCCATCACGAGCAGCAGGGGCTGCATTTTTGGGCATGTTCTTGCTGGGTACAGTTTTGGCCATGGGCAGTTACACTGCTTTTGTGAGCACTCTGAGCAAGGCATTGCAAGAGCGAGTACCAAAAATAACCTATCGGCTTACAATAGGATCTTCTTTGGTTGCCATATCACTCGGTATTGCAGTCTTGTTCGGAGAGGTATTCGGTTTCAGTCTGTTTTAGTCCACTTATTGTTATGTTACACACATCTCTGGACCAGCTTCGAACAATTATGAGCTGGCCGGCGTGATGCCTGCTTACAAGTAGGCCCCACTAATTCACGCATGCATTTGTGGTCCTAACCTTCAATTTTCCTCATGTGAAACTGTTGCCGCAAGGTTCAGGCTTATACCATCGCTACACCTTAAAGAGCTTAGCACCCGTCCATATGTCAGACAGTTCCAGTTTCTCTCTTGTATTTGAGTTCATAATGCATTATCAGGAAGACCTTGATCTTTCATTTTGCAGCTATTTCTGTTTTGGAAACCTGTTCTATTCCCCCTTTTTAATTTTTAATTTTTATATAGTTTTCGTTTTGGTTGTCATTTTAGCTTTCTTGAAGGAATTTTATGATGAAGGTGGCGATTGTATAAGAACTGCACATGCTGAATACATGTTGGTCTGCTTGATATGCTTCACACCACTACCCCTTTAACAAAGAAATGACGATTACAATTCCACTGGCTGTATAATTCCACTTTATTCGTTCTTCATCTCAACTATCTCGTTGCAGTAGCAGAAGGTTGAAAATCACTTTCTCGAAAGCTTTTGAATGTGTTGTTACCACGTACTCCACGATTCATTTCTTTTCTCATTCCTTTCCGTCGCATATCCATTGCCGTTTCTTCTCAACATCAGCAGTCATCGATTTCTTCTGGTACCTTTCACACTACACCAATGACAGCCTTCAACTGCGCCGCCGCTTTGTGCACGTCAGCAGCATTTGCGCCAAATGTCGAACCTGAAATTTTTGAAGCAACGCCATTCTAGGAATTGATCGATTGAACTAGGAATTACAATCTCTTACTGCATATTCAAGTTTCGCTCAGACAGTAGTTAAACATTACGAACCTAATGTTCAGATAATGAATCTGTGATGCTGTGCAAGTATGTGTAGTGACGTCGCAGTCGAAGGTGGTGAGTAAAGAATTGTCGAGAGGAGATTCGTCTTTTAGGGCATTTGCATCCTTTTCTCTACGTCAAGGTCCTCCGATTCATGCTTCGATTATCTGGGTTTTCTGGAAGTTGGTGACATGATGAGGAGTGCCGTACAAAGCTTGGTCAGAGTGAAGAAGCTCTGCCGCTCTCCTAACAATCATCGATGTCTACAAACGGCATTCTTTTCTTCGGAGGTGAATTCCTGTTTTCTTTGAAGTCAAGTGTGAGTGCACGATGGAGATGTTATTTGTTTGTTCTCTACGAGTTCGATGTAGGACAGAGGAATCGTTTCCCTCGAAACTTGAGACTGAGGTTTTGGCGCTTCCCAGAATTGTCGTGTGAGGTCGTCAAGTGCAAGCTTGCACTTGAATTCGTAATTGAGGCATTAACAACGTGCGATGTCGAAGTGGGTTTTTTCTGAATTGAGTTGTGGTGGATTGGAAACAGATGGAGAAGAAGCAAGCTGGTTCAGAAGATGAATACGATGTGGTTATCGTTGGTGGAGGAATGGTTGGTGCAGCAGTCGGCTGTGGCCTTGGTATGTATCTCGTAGCGATTATTGGTGTCGTTTGTGAGTGTTGCAATTAAGCCTCGATCGCATATTTTCAAAGTAGCTTACTAGGGTTTGGAAATGGAGGAAGGAGAATTTTCGATATTTTTGTGAGGTGTTCAATACTTAGAGGTATGACTTTCGTTAATCAGAAACAAGTACCCAACTCCAAAATTAACTTCGTGCTAGGACTTTGCAACAGCTTGTTCACCATTGTCGAGAGATCTGCGGGTGGCCATCATTGACAGTTCCAAACCAATGGCCGCACCAAAGCATGACCCCAAGGCCGTTCCAGACCAACGTGTCAGTGCGATTACTCCTGCTACCGTACGCTTTTTCAAAGGTTTCCTATCCTCTCCTGTCTCAGGGTTTTACTTTTTTCGCTTTTGGATATCAAAGAGCAACTAAAGCATTAATCAAATGTTTTAATGCATCTTTATTGAAGTTTTTGTGTAGAAGTGGGAGCTTGGGAATCTGTTCAAGCTGCAATGCCTACGCCCTTCGATGCGATGCAGGTGTTAGTCAATTCCTATGATTCAGTAGACTACCGGAAATCTGGTCAATTTTTTTATAATCACTTGACCTGCTCATTTGATAGGACTGGTCTCTGAATTTATCTCGTTTCGAAGGTTTCTTCTTTTTCTTCTTCTAATTATTATTATTATTTTCCAGGTTTGGGATTACGAAGGGCTTGGGTACACTCGTTACACTGCTGACGACGTCGGTGCATATGTACTAGGGTGGGTGCATGTATTCATCTCGTGAATTTTGGGAGATACACACAGATTTCTCTACTACATATTTCTCAATCCTATCGTCGCATGTAATCTTATGGTTTCAATGTGCGATGGATTGACATCTGCGTAAGCTGTGCCACATTACCGCTGTTAATTACCACATTTGCCAACTTTGTATGATTTAGGAAAAAGTTTCGCAACTTCAAGCCCCGCACTCTGCTGGAATGCTCCTCATGATAGATTAAGCACAAAATATTGTCAAACACTGAAGTCGTTTTGGGGTAAACAACAAAAAACATGAAGTAAGAACGACAAGAAAACAAAACAAAACAAATCAAAACAAAATTTAAGTTTCTGTAATTTGGCTTTCCCCAACCTCGAAATGGGAATTCCGTAGTTTTCCTGAGGGATGGTTTCTTTTTCTATGTGGCTCCTTTGTTGACAGTGGTTGCCTGTCGTCCATTTGTATTGCAGGTATGTAGTGGAGAATAAAGTGTTACTTGGCGCCCTTCGTTCCCGTATTGAGGTCAGCCCTTCTGTTTAAGGCTGTGTGCATGTTCTTGTACCCAACTCAATTCACGTTATCCAGGAAAGAATCTAATGGGCTGGGGTTGCAGAATGCAGGATCCGTTGATTTTATCTGTCCAGCACAGGTGAAATCAGTCCTTCTCCCAACTCCAAGTGGGCAAGGCCTCGATTCACCGCAAGATAGGGCGGAAGTTGGGCTCAATGACGGCAGGTCCTTAAGAGCACGCCTTGTGGTAGGAAGTTCGTTGCACATTTGTCTTATTAGACGATTAATATTGAATTTTGTAGTCCACCTATTGGCAAATATGACCTGCTTTTGCACTTTCAAGTTCTTCTAGCGTGTTTGAACCCTCAAAGTTGTTTTCTATGTTTATTCCAACAGCAGGTCAAGTTATAAGGTACTACCTCGAGGGCACTTCTTGAGTATATCACTTGCTACTTTCTCGTTTGCAATGCAAATTCAAGTCTGCACGTTTTGTGATTTGCAAAGTACAGTGTTTATCTGAACCCTCTATTGACTTTGGTGTCCAGGTTGGGGCAGATGGAGGCAGGTCAGCAGTAAGAGCGACGGCGGGCTTTCAAACAAGAGGATGGGAGTATAAGCAAAGCGCTGTAATCTGCACAGTGCGTGTAGAGACAAATCATGCTACTGCATTTCAAAGATTTTTGCCAACTGGGCCATTCGCGTTGCTGCCCTTGAACGACACCTACAGCAACATAGTGTGGACAACCACACCTGAAAAGGCTGATGCTCTTAAAACCATGTCAGCTGAGCAGTTTGTGGTAGAAGCGAACAAAGCATTAATAGATGATCATGGTCCAAAACCAGGATCAAAGATTGCTGAGATAGTAGGGAATGTGGTAACTTCCTCACCGCTGCTGGGTGCCATGGGTCCTTCAGCATCAGAGCCGTTCCAAGAACCCCCGCGAATTGTAGATTGCGCGACTCCGCGGCTTTCGTTCCCGTTGTCGTTAATGCATGCCAGCAACTATGTTGGGCATCGTGTGGCTCTTGTTGGCGATGCTGCTCATACGGTTCACCCACTTGCTGGACAGGGAGTCAATTTAGGGTTTGGGGATGCTGCTTCTCTCTCGAAAGTACTACAGAAAGGAGTAGAAACCGGCCATGATATTGGACAGGTAAATTTGTACTGGACACGTATTATACTGTTAGCAGCTGTGAATGTTGGTTTGTTTAAAAACTAGATTTCTGATGTGTGGCATTGAAGTCCTTTGGTGGCCTCAAGTGCGACATTAACATGTATGTTTGCAGATAGATTTGTTGGAGGAGTACGAGCGGGAACGAAAAAGGACCAACTTGACGATGATGGCTATTTTGGATGGATTCCAGAAAATGTATTCCAGTGATTTCGGTCCTCTCAAATATGCTCGCTCCTTCGGTTTCAATGCAGTCCATGCACTGGGTCCTCTAAAGAAGCAAATAATATCGTATGCAATGGGTGTATAGTGTCCTTTGATGTCCTGCTTTGTGAGAGTTGGGACAAGAAAAGCTGGCTTGTTCTTGGGAAAGCCTTATGAGACGCTACTTACAAGACTAGGATGCATGCAGTGTATAGCATTTGTGAACAATTTTTCCTCAAAGGTGAATGAGACCTTGGTCTTTAGACTGCATGCAGAATTCCGTAGTTGGCATTTATTTGCAGTTTGTTTGTCTTACACGTGATCGAGGACCCAGGTCGAATGGATTTTTATACGAAAGATATTGGGCCACTATGAACATGAGGATTTTGGCAAATAAATTTTAACTATCGAAGAATCTTCCTTTGCAACAGGATGGCTCATAAGAGAAGGTAGGAGGGGGGAAGATAGTTTGGAGAATATTTAAAAACAGGATTGGCCTCCATCTGGTCTTTTTGCAAAGAATTCATGTTGTTCCTCCTCACGAATAAAACCTGTTTCTCTTGTGTGAGTTCCTAGTCATATTTTTAGAAATGGTCAGCATCCTAACTGTATGCGGAGTGTTCATGCCTCTCAATCCATAACGAGAGGTAGAGGGGGGATGTTTTAATCATGTCATCGGAATAACCACTTGCCTCGCCTAAAAGGGAATATTTAAATTCTATTTTATAAAGTGGAGGTCGGAATTGCACTATATATAAATTAGTTACAGGATATTAAAAAATAAATATAAATAATGGAATGTTATTCAACAATGCTCCGCAGACACGTACCAGTTCTACATTACTAGTGGACGCGAAGACCATGCTGAAGCGAAGCGGAAATACGCAGAAAAAAACCAAAAGTCGGTAAGAATGTAGCTTTCGAGCTCTCAACTATTCTTCTCACATGATGTCGCAGCATCCCTTGAAGTTGTTTTAATAACAAACCAGTAATACTTTTGATGAACGGTGGATTACGGCTCCAATGAAGCTGGATCCTATCACGAGACGTACATGTTACGAAAGCAAAGAGTCCAGCATCACGTACTGTGGTGGTTGCACTGATGTCGTCGTGTCTAACTACATTCGCAGTGTCTGCGCGGAGAGTCTTCAGAATATTACAGAGATTCACCCACCTCGGAAGCAGAATCTCATTGCTGAGGTGCAGACCAAGTGTTTCAAGTTCTGCATGGTTCGTTGGTTGTCAGTGGGCAATGTTCTTCAGTGGTTTCAACTTCATTGGATGCCAGTTCAGGAATACTTAACAAGCAGCTTCAGGGCTTTTCGACGTAGCTCTTGGGGCGGCGTGGGAAGCTTCATAGCCTGATCGAAGCCCTCTACAGCATGTCGGAGATGGAAGAACTAGATTTGATCAGAAACCTCAACAAGAGTCCTCATCCTAGAATGGACTTAGTCGGTCGGCAATCGAGACACAAAATGCTTTAGAGAAAGACTCTAGTGAATTGCTTCTACTGGCCCTCTCACATCAACTCCCACAAACGGATATCCACGAACTAGTTCAAACGCTGCAGAAGTTCAATGTAACGCTTCGTAATTCGTGGTCTGAAGATAAGATTTACCACATCGACGCTGTTTTCTTAGATCTAAAGCATGCCTACCGATTGAAACCAGTTTTCAAGCGTGTTGTGGATTCAATGACCGACCACAATGTTTCATTCGAAGAAGGATGGAGGCCAGTTCGTCGCAGCTTTTCAAGCTTGAAGGTTATCTGTGAAGGCTTCTGCGAGGGCTTTTCGAAGTACTGCAACTGTCAAAATCTATATAGCACAAACATTTCTTTTGTTTAAACAACAACAAGAAAAAAAATAATCCTTCTTCTTTGCACATGTATAGATTAACTTTTGTGAAAATATCATACATACTCCTTGGAATTTGCAATAATATGAAGAATACCCCTATATTCTTGATAATAGCAAATATATCCCACTTTTTTGTGATAATTGCAAATCTAACCTTGAAGTTGGTAAGGTATAATTTTATTGCCATTTTGGATGAATTTGGGGTCCAAACCACATATTGTGTAGATTTTCGGCCTCCATTGAACCAAACAAGTTGCCGCTATATTTCAGTCCTGCCGCAATAATGCTTTGCTAAGCTATGCGATATTGGAGGTGATAAAACCATGAAGCAAATTGCCTGATGTTGTTGCTCGTGCATACAACTCTAGCATCCCCTAGCAAGCAAAATAATACTCAATACTTGATCCAAACCTCACTTTTTCCATAACTTGTTGACTTTTGAATGATGTGAAGGAATTTTGGTGCTTCGTTGGCTCTAAGAATTCATGGCATGCATCACAGCGGGTGCACATGACACTAACTGCAACTCAAGACAAATCATGAAAAGTGGCACCATAATAGCCAGACTAGAAGACATTTTTCTTCTGCCACATCATTCTTTACGACAACAAGCTTTATGTGGGTTGTAATGAGATGGTTCTCCTTAAACTGCTTCTCACTAGGAGACGATGCCATAATTTATATTTCTTGAGTTTTGCAATTGTTCTAGCGTTTAATTTGGTCACAAGTTCCAAATTCATGCCTAAGACTACTGAAAGACTAGATAGCAATAAGGTTATACCTTATGAACTTCAAGGGTAGATTTACAATTATCACAAAAGTGAGGGGCATATTTGCTATTATCAAGAATATATGGATATTCTTCATATTTTAGCAAATTCCAGGAATATGTATGATATTTTCTCTTAACTTTTTACTAGAAAATTGAGATATAGAATATAATATTTGTTGTATGTGAATGCAATGTTTTACAATAGGTCTCAAGATTGGTATAATATATTGGTAATGATTCTATTTCATCTTTATCTCTATTGTGTACCACATATGTTTTTTTCTTATTTATTTTTGTTTTTTATATAACAAAGAGTATGTTTTTAGAAATCAAGCATCTGAAGAAATGTATTTCAAACTTATCAAAACCTTATTTTGAAACATACTCTTTAGATATAAGCTTGAGTATATTTCAAATACAAGTAGTTCTAATAACTTTGGAGTTGTCAAAAAATACATTTAACATCATTATAAGTATAGTAATAAACACACCTCTTCTAAGCATTTCTAGTCTTTTTTTGTATTTTGAAACAACCAAATATGTATTTTTTAGGATGTTGGTACTAGCTTATTTTTACAATACCAATATGGTCCAAAACATAAAAGATGCATGTCTACAGTTTCAGAAGTTTTTATAGTTAATTTGTCTATAGATATATTAATATTGTATTAAAAAGATGTATGTTCCTACCAATATATAAATATAAATATATGTAGATAATTATTATGACTCCTTGTGGATGCTTTTTTAAGTATTTTTACCAAATTTTCTATACAAATGTTTTAATATATTTTTGGTGATCATATTTTTTTTAATTTGAAAAAATCATATTTAGTTTTAATTACAAACTTCTTAAAATTTTATTTTTCTTTTCTATATAAGACTTGTTATAGAACTTTTTTTTTTCTGATACAATACTTAATTATCAGTATTAGATTTGTTTTTTTGATAAAAATATTATCATACAAAATCATATCAATAAAATATAAACAACAAATGATGCAGATTGTAAACAGTAGAATTTCCAAATTCAAAATATGTTTTGAGATTGGTTGAAAATAAGTAAAATTTATGAAGAGCACCAAAATGTATTACAAAATTATGGTAATTAATTTACCTTTATATCAATGACACATATCTGATATACTTTTTCTACATTATGGATATTAATTGCATGGATATATATATATATATATATATATATATAATTTAGCATTATTATTATTATTATTAGTAGTAGTGGTATTTTTTCATATTATCTAAGAAGATGACTATGAAGAAAAAATTACTAGAAGGAATAAATGAATTTAAAAAGAAATTTTAAATTCAAAAATTTAATGTTGGAAGATTTTTTTATTTTTTTATTTTTTATTTTTTTAAATATATTTTAATATACAAACTTTTATGTTGTAAGTCAACTAAATTATTTTATTTTTTACTTTTTAAAGTTATATATATATATATATATATATATCCATATACATAATTTTATGTTGTGTCAATTTACATACTCTTATTTAAAATATTGCAGATTTAATGTCAGTATTTCTATATTGTTCAACTTGTTTAAATTCTATAGTATATTATTGCACATATATTATAATGTACTATTTTTCTAAAGTGTTCATATTATGTAACATGTTTGATCATCATAAATTACAATGTATCCTTAATGTATTCATAACGTAAAAATTAGTAGAAAAAACATATTTCATTACAAATGTTCTTTTATTAAATCTTTTATCTATTAAAAAATCAATTCGTTTTTCAGAAATTTTAATTTTTTTTTCAGAAATATTCTCGGAAATAAATACACTTATTATGATGTAAAACATATGATATTAAGTTGTCCTTTACAACAGAGGCAATATGTTATCATCTTAAGCATATTTCCATTATTCAATGCGATTTTTATGAATTTATTCTTTAAAAATGTATGGTTATATATATATATATATATATATATATATATCTGTATACATTTTTTTGTCTAGAAAAAGAATATACATATTTGATGAGCTATAGTTGTCTCCAATACAGATAATTACAACGTTTATCCTTATATACATTGTGTCATAATATTTGTGTATAATATGTTTGAAAGAATACAATCTACTTATTCTTGTTACAATGCATTAATATTATCTTTAGTACTTTAAAGCTGTATTCACCAACCTTGTAGATTTTAAGATTAGTATCCTAATGCAATGCTTTGACTCCACACTCATTGACTCAAGATGTGTCTTAAGAACAAAATTTAATTACTTATGCAGCCTGAGGATGCTTTTACTTGCCAACTGAAATAGAATTCAATTGTAATGCATTGTTTGTAAGCAAGTAAACTGTACTAATAAAGTGATTTGAAAAATTCTTCTGGGAATTTGTATTTAAAAAGATTGTTATAGTATTCCAATTTTTGATAACACATATGCTCATCTTATCTTTATTTTCTTGTTTTCTTGTTTTCTAATAATTTTACAAACAATTAAATATTCTAGTATATCTTGAAAAACAACAAAAACAGTTTCCATGTTATTTGGCTCATAAACTAGCATGATTTACAACACAACTGTAAAACCCAGTCTTAAGTGGGGGCACAGCAGATACAATGTGACAGATTTCTGTGGCAACATTCTGTTGCCGCAAATTTGTGTCAACGATTTAAGGAAGCTCGTTTTTGGTGTGAAATTATCTAGATTTTCTTCACCTAATCATCTAGATTTAAGGAAGCACGTTTTTGGTTTTCAAATTAACTTTTGGTGTGAATGCATGTGTTTTTGTTTCATAATTTTTGTTTTTCTGCTTTTGGTGTTTGTTTGTTTGGAGGCTACATGTTTTGATTCCACAACGAGTGGTGGTTTAGCTTCTGGGGTTTGTGTTAACCTTTGAATGTGTTAGGATGGCTGCAAAGTGATCTATTGTATGATGGCCAGCATGAATCCTGAATCATTTTTACGGGCATATAATATCCCACACATGTTCCTCCATTTGGAAGCCACTAAAGAATGTTATTGCAATTTGATTAGCCACAATTCCTAGCTTTAGAACCCATTATTTAAACATGCCTTCTATTTTTCATTAAAATAAAATAAAATAATTTATTTAGAATGAAAGGTCAACTTGTGGTTACCTATATTTATACTTGATGGAGTGTTTATTATGGTAGTTGTGCACCATCTTGCATAACTTTAACATCAAAACATGTACAACAACCAAATTATTGTATTGCAACATTTGTATTGGTTGCACATATTTCTATACATAAAAATGTAAATAATGTGGACCTCATTTGTCTACTTTATATAACCTTACCACCATTGCACCATCTGAAATTGTGTAACTTCATCATAAACATGCATTGCAAATGAGCTCCCCCTATTTGGGCCAATTTATTTAAGGTGTTTAAATTTATGCTTGAAAAACCTTTACTGCAAGCTCTACTAATTTTTCGCCTCTTCACCTTCTAAATTGCAAATTAAAGGATGTCAAAAATTTACCATTATGAATATGAGCCATATATGTTTTTTGAGGATTTATATTCTATTCTATTCTATTTATTTATTTCTCTCTCTTGTTGTTGTTTAATATCAATACATGAATACATAAATACATGAACACATACAAATATGTATTTAAAATGTGAAAAATGTCATTCTTTTTATGTGAAGGATATAGATTTTTTTTTTTTTTTTTTTTTGAAGATTATTGTTTATATATATATATATATATATTAGATTTTCCTTTTACTTTTTTGATTATTTTTATTAGGAATAAGCATCTAAAAAACATGAAGATATGTATTAGTACTTGTGTATTTTATTTTTTGTTGTGATATTTATTTTCTGAGATTCTTTACATTGACATTATGTTTTTGTAACCATCAAAGTTGTACATTGATGGTTATAATTAAATAATATTCAAAATTCTGACGTTACTTATTTAATAATATTTACTTTTGTAAGTGTTGCTTTAGAATTGATAAAAGATAATTTAATGTACATGTTTACATACAAATTGCAATCAAATTCATATTGACTACTATGAACTAATTCTTCTGTAATATTCAATTAAAGTTGTGTTCTAACATTCTCCTAAAAACAATATGATAAAAAGCTTTGATTGTATGTGTTATCTTCTCAACTACCAAATTTCTAATAAATCCTCTTTCAAAATTTTGAATGTTGTAATACAACGTATATTGACATGGTGTGTAAAATCAACATTTAGTCAATTGACTTTTGGATTAATATCAGTACAACATATGTTAATAAATTTATTCATGTAACATTCTTTTAATATCAATGTTATGTATTTTGTGACTTAAGTTTACAAATACAGCCAGTCATTGTGATGACCTGAGAGCAGCATCTAGTTGTAACCATCAAAGTTGCTCTAAATCTCTTAAAAAGACTCTGCTAATCAACATTTTTATTTAAGTTCTAAAACTGGTGGTAATTGGAAAAATAAAATAAAATAAAAAATTAAGGGATTTTTTAATACTTTAATAAAAAAAAGGAAAAATAAGAATTTTTACTATAGAAACAACCTGCACTAATCTGAAACGTGGTGCTTGGAAATTTGACAAAGAAAATATCAATAAAAAAGAAGGAAAATAAAATTCTAAAAAAAAAAATCCAAATTAAAGGAGAATTAAGTCCCTTGAATGTAAGTTTTATTGTGAAGCAAAATTCCCTGCAGCTAGAATCATAATACTATTTAGGTTTAAAAATACACTATTTTATTTTTCTTCTTGTGCAGCAACTACATTATGTAAAACATTATACGGAGACATTTTCAATTGGTAGAAACTATTAAAAAAAAAAAAAAAAAATCCTTTTGGTTGATTTTAAACTCAGAAAAAGCAACCAGAAGGACGTGAGAAAAAAAGATAAGATAGAATACAAACTATTCCTACATTGAATTTTTATTATTAATTCTTGGAATTTGTGTTGGATCCACTTTACTACATTGTTTTTCAAAAGAAATATAGAAGCCATGTCAAAATTGCCAAATAGTACTTATTTAAACTTTTAAAATCCAAACTTTAAATGTTTTTGTAGCTGTCATAATCAAGTTGCAAGCTTATCAAGTCCAATCTTACAACTTGATAACTTATAATAATCAAGTTTTTAGCTATCATAATTAGAATTATAATATTAAATGATTTGGTCCTTATAATGACCTTCTCTCTTTGTATTATTTCCAAAATCCAAGGGATCTAAAGGACACTTTTCGTATACCAAGTAAGGGACCATTACAAGAATTTTAAATTATGGCCTTTTTAAGTAAATTTTTAGGTTTAAAATCCTCTTTTTATATATATATATATATATATATATATATATATTTAACACAATATTAAATTCAAAGAAATAAGATTCTTTATTTGATTTATAAATTTTTGGTAGGTGATGCAAGATAATTTAAAATTTATGTGTAGTATATGACATTGTGATGTGAAGAATCTTAGTTAATATGTACCAATATTTGTTACTTAAAGTTTTTGCACAAGGTATAGACTTACTAAACAATTATATGCACAATTCTATGAAGAGAATCATACTGATTGTCATTTGTATTGAAAAAATAATAAACAAAAAGCAAAGATTTCATGCCATGTTTTGTTTGAAGAACATAAATGTAATTATAATAAAATCTCACATCAGATTCATAATTGAACTCATACCATTTATATATTGAACACAAAATAAATATTTATGTCTATTTTTAAAATTAAATATATAAGAAATTAAAAACGTAAATCATTACATCAATATTAAAAAATTAATAATTATAAATATAAATATACTCTGAAAATTATTAAATATATATTTAGATAAGTTTTTACAAAAATTGACATATTGTCGAGTTGTACCTATTTTTATTTATTTTTTAATTTAATTTTTTTTTATAGGTGTGCAATTCACACTGCAAACATGACATGAAGAAGATATACAAACAAAAAAACAAACAAAAACTTCCAATTAAAAAGGTTTAGTTACAAAGAATTAAATAGAGCTATATTAAGAAATCCATAGAAAAATTATAAAGAAAAACAAATTAGAATCAGAAAAGTGGGTTGCTGAAAGTTATTGACTTTAGCACAAAACAAAACTTTACTATATATATATATATATATATATATATTTATATTTTGTGTTTTTATTATGACCTAACAAGAAAAAAATCTGATTCTAATTGTTTGATGGATGTTAAAATGAGCATAGAACATGTAATAAGTTGTGCAGTTATCATTTGTCATACACTATCCATGGTACCACATATTATGTATATGCAATGCAACACAAAATTTTGTTCTTGTTGGAGTTAATTTGCATCAATACTTATTTTAAAATTTAAAACATCATGTTTTTTTAAAATCTTTTTATTTTTAATAAAACCATAATAAAATGAGAAACCAACACAGGTTTGGAACCAAACATACTAAAATCCCATGTAGTTTATTCCCTCACAATATCACATATTACATTATAGCATGGTAAAAACATCTCTTTACTCAACAAACCATCCCATTATATCACAAAGACCTCTCCATTGTCCATGTTATTGTTTTCCAAAAACCTTTGCAATAATTTCATTAATATTATATTAACATTTATCACAATAATCATGCTAAATCATGTTGTACAAAGTCCAACAAATTTTTCAAAAAAAGAAACATACTCTTACCCATAGCACTACAAGTATAAAACTCCCTCTCCATTTCTGATTCCCTTTGTATGAAACTCTTTGTTAAAAGCAGTTACATATACACACATAAATGTTACTTAATTATTATTATTATTATTATTATTATCATCCTTTTGTAGGTTTATAACTTTCAGTTGTATCTGTGCAAATACAAGTACAAATTGGAAAAAAAAAAACTTGCATGCACTCAAAGTTATGTTTTTCCCACACAATTGCACATTCATTAAGGGGTTTCAAACGTGGCCTTTTTGTGTGATATTTCACCCATGATTCAAGCTTGAAATGTCCCATGATATTTCAAAATATGACTTGATACTTCACAAAATCACCCACCTTGCAAAGTAGGTGCTTTTGAAATTGAAAAATTGCATTGCTTGCTTCAGCTCTCTTTCCTCTTTGACTCTACACAAGGGGGTATTAAAGTTTGAATTAGGGGATAATATCAAGGGGAAATAAAGTTTAAATAGAGATATTTTGGATTTGATATTTGAAGTGATCATGAAAATATCATGTGGTGAATCCCAGTTATTTGGTTTTTCAAAAGGGCCATGTTTGAAACCCCCTATTTTGGATAGTAACAATGGGCACTATGTTGTTTAGGGTTGTGAATGTTGTATCATGGCTTCACTCATTTTTCCCTCAAAGGGTTCTCTCAGAAACTGGGTGCACTTCATGGGACACAATAGTCCTCCATTTTGTTTCTTCACACAGATGATCCAAACTATCTTCTTCCTTCACGCAATCCTCATCAGATGGATCCACATTTTGAAGCCCTTTTCAAGCATCCCTGACACTGAGTTGTGTGCAGGAATCGCAGATCCTGTCTAGTGGAGCGCGCTGCTGTTGCTGCTGCGAGCAAGTTAGTCTGTAATAACGGACGGCTCTAGTGAAGCCACCCAACTCGCATCCATCCATGCCTTGAGGCCCGAGCCTTTTGTGTGTACTCCGAAGAGGGGTCACATGTTTCACAATTCCCATGAGGGCACGTAATCAGCGACGTCAGCTGGCGTTAGAGTGATGACGACAGCTACATCGAGTTCGTCATCCGAGGAGCACAACAACAGTGCTGGTGATAATCTTATTCTCTTCCTGATCGACGACCCATGTCGATCAAAATTCTGTTCCATCGCCTCCTGTTTCACTTCTGAAAACGCCGCCTTTCCAGCTCACAGTGCACGTAACTAACTCAGTTATTACCACAGTGATACTGTCTGTTTGTCTGTCATCGCTGGTGATGACTGTGTTGTAACATTCGATGAATGTGGGTGGGTGTGGACCTCCAGGTCTCGCAAGTAGCGGTAAGGACCTCATTTTGGTCCAGAACCCTCGTGTGCTACTGAAATATAAATTGACTATTTATGTCATTTGCGCTTTACAAGTTGTCGTGCTCACCGCCCACATCATTTTAAAATCACAGCTTAATGCTCTCACAGACAGTCGAGTGTTCTCGAATCGGGAAGCTGGGATCCCGACTGAGCTTGGTTTCTGACGCTTTTGAATGTTTGTCTGTACACTGTCACATCAATAAAATCTTGATGAAAGCAATGGAAACTCTTTGTTTATTGAATCCCACTGTTTGCGCCTATCCGGCGGCAGAGCTCGTCCTATCCCTCTCTCTATGTCTGTAAAATGTTATAAGGCGCAACTGTCTTTCCGTTCGGCACAGACAACTCTCAGAGTGGAGTCGTGTTGCCCTTGTGTGGCTTTTGTCGATTGGGACTTTAGTTGCCGCGTTATATTTTGCAGGAAGTTGCGTGTCGTCGAGTGTTCCAATTCAAAGCCCTGTTGTTCTTCGTTGTCCTGTTCCACGCGCTTCAAGCTTTGTGTCGATCTTCCTCGTCGCTTCTGCTTGTGAAAGAAACAGCGTCGTGGTGTTCGGTTTCTGTTCAACAGTACACTGCATCCAGGTCGGTAAGATTTCTCCTCCAGGTATCATTACTTGCCGTGGTTTCGGATTGACTCTGTCGCTCCTAATCAGAGTATTGCTACAGTTTGTCGGTTAGGAGCTGATTTAACACATAGTTGATTGTGTCCAGAGTCCGTATTGGGCAGTCGGTTGCCTTCTTGTGTTGCAATTTCTTTATTGCATAATTTCAAAACCTCCACTCTCCTGTAGTATGGCTGAAATGGGCTACCAGCAAGCCAAGTTTGGTATTTTTTTTTTTTAACTTAGACACCGTATTTTGTTATTTCGAACACCGCAATATAAGGTTACTGTTAAAGTAAATATTGTCTTAAATCGCTTGTAGAGCAGTCTTTCAGCCACCGATAAAAGGTTCTTGTCGTTATTCAATTGTTTCATCTGGATGGTGTGAGACGGTTCCACACTTACGTCTTGCTTGGAAGTCTGATTTCTTTTCTTCTTTTCCTTTCTTTTTGTTTTTTTTTTAATCTTAATTTTAATTTATTTTTTACTTAAAAAATCCTCAGATGGGTCAAGGGGAGCAGAAACGTCCTCATAAAAGAGGCGATGTCCTCACGAGCGCCGCAAAGGGCATTGTCAAGGATGCGAATACAGCGATATCTGCGGTGATCGGCTCTTGTGCTGGTTCTGGCGATGGCAAATCTAAATAGAGAGCGCGCACACACACACATATGTATATGTACATGTATATACATATATATCGAGAAGAAATGGAAGGTTGCAAAACTTCAACTGCACGCTCCAGTGGCTCTCCAGGCTTCCACTTCTCTTCTTCCCCGACACACTGTTTCATGTGTTCTTCAACTCAATACGACTCTTCTGGATGAAAGGAACATGATGCCCCCCCCCCCCCCCCGCCGACGAGCTCGGGGACCGCTCCACCGACACTTACCCATGTACACCGAACACTTCGTTGCCTCTTGGATGGCTATCCAGATCATTGTATTTTATCGTATGATAATGCACCCGCCGTTTCATAAATCCGATTGCCGAACTCCGAACTATGAACGAAGCCGTGGTTAGACTTTTTGACGAGACGTTGACTTTTCGGAGTGGACTTTTCGGCGTTGACTTAAGTTGACTTTGGTCTTAGGTCGTGAACTACCTTATCCAGTGCCTACGTGGTATTTTATTTTATTCTATTTCATTGGGTTGTATAATGCAGGCGAGGTAATAAAAACTGTACTGTAGCTTCTTGAAGGTTGTAAAGTAAGGCAGTGGTTTTTTAAAAGAGCATTGAGAAGTTACTGTAATATTTTATATTATATGTATATTAGTTTCTGTATTTTTATGTGTATGTTTGGTTGTCGTTGGTGGTTTATTTACTGAGGAGATTTAGTAGGTTTGCAATAGAATGTGTGAGGATTTGTGAGCTGAAGTTCTCGACAACCCAAAAAGAAACAGAGTTAATTGTGCAATTTCTGAGAAAATCGTTACCAAAATGTACATCTTATTGAAATCACAATAATGAGATATTTATTATGTTTTTTTTGTAGAATACAGCCAAACTGATAAAGATTCAATATTAGTGAAATGCTTATGGGACAATTATTATCACTTTTACAGTCATCCATGCACTTGAATGTTTGAACAATTTTATTTGCACCAACAGAAAAATCAAATTTGACAAAATCAATAAGTAATTTAAATTGCATAACTAAGAAACTGGAAATTTACAACATTGTTGTGATCAAATGTGGTTGTCAAAAATTGCAAACCATCAAAATCTTGTCATTTAAATTTATATTCGATATATTCTATAAATATATACAAAGATTTATATTACTATGATCTTTCTACTTTTATTTTTAAAATTTGATGTTTGGTCTTCTTCTATATTTAATGTTAAATTTTTGTATTAGACCAAAAGATAATCTAAGAAATTTATCAATTTTCTTTGCTTATGCTTGCTTATTAATATTAGTTTGTTTGATAGAGCTTAGAAGTTATTATAACTATTAATCATTATTTTTTAAATTATCAACATGTTGCAACTTTTTGCAATTAATATTAGAAACTAATGATTTGTATTAGATATTTAGAATATAAATTATTTGGCTCATTTATCTTTCTACATGTCCTATAATAAATATAAAATCATTTATATATTGGCTTAAAGTTTGTTGGATTTTTTGTATACAGTTTTTATATTTAAATTTCTTTTGTATTTTGAATTACTTCTTGGAATGCAAAGTCTATGGCTTTTCTATTATGATAAAAAAAATAATAATGAGTAAAAAAGTATTCTTTATTCACTAATATTTTAATTGAGATCTTATACATTAAGTTTTTATTAATTATAATTGTGGCCTTTGTTCCTACCAATTACATTATTGTAATGAGTATATGTGATGGATAGCATTCTAACTTTTTTATTATTTAAATATAATATATACCTCAAAATTTTGTCATAAGTTTTAAGAATATAAAAATAATTTATAAACTCCTATAAAATTAATATCTAATTTAGAAAAAAATTCAAAGGATAAAAAGTGGTTTGGTCTTAATTAATTATTTCCACTAAATTTGATTGAATGTACACTTACAGTCCAATAGAAAGATTTTATTTTTTTTGCTTATCTTAAAAGACCATGGTTTAAAAGCATTATCAAGATTTTCCAATTGGTGAAAACAAAAGCCTTATTTTGGGAGCTTTGATCTTTACATACAATATAAAGTTAAAAGAGGTCATGAAATGAACCAAATAATTCTTTTATTATAAGTTTTGTTTTTTTAGTTCATATCTTTATTTTACCGATTATAAAAAGCAAATATTTTTTGATTTTTTAATATCTACATTAAGTATTATTTTGCACAAATTCTAATATTTTTATCAAACCTGCCTCTTAAAATGGACCCAATAGAAAATTTAAAGAACAACATTATTTATGCCATATTAGAAAATTAACACATCTACTACATCTCTTTCTCTTAGGCCTTTAATCAATGCCTTGAATCAATGAACTCCTAATCATTTATTGGATCGTAGTCTTTTCCATAATTATGACTTGGATCATAAACCTAATTTCGTTCTTCAATTCTATATTGTTGAAAAAAAAGAGGAAGAAGAAAAGAAGTAAAAAAGAACATGTATTTGGCATGGTTTCTAGATTAAAAATCTGTGATGAAAGTTTTATTTCTGAGGTTCATTCTTAGTATCAATGGCTGCTTCTAGTTTTGGTATTTGAGGTTTTGGGTGAGTTGGTATTGAAGAGTAGTTCAAACTCATCGCCGTGAATGCACTGGATGGTTGTTTTATTTTTTTCAGGATTAATATTTGAAGTCTTTGAGTCGTGTAAATTCCTGTATAATATGTAGCAACGTATACTCTGCAAACTGAACAGCTATACAACCTTGAGTTCGTGAAGAATCAAACGCATCTTTTGTGTGTTTGAGTTCTTCGGACTAAATTACAGAACTGCGGTTAAATTTCTTGGGCTATTGGGGACTAAGTCTGCTCTTTTCAAGCACTCTCAACAATACAAACGAGAGGTTATTAGCGTATTATCTCCTTCCAAATTTAACTAAAGCAACTACGAGCTAGAATGGCCAAAGATGCTTAATTTTTGTATTTATCAAGAAGAAGTGTCCAAGTTTATTTCAAAATGTCTACTAGTCTTTTATTTCTGCTATGAATTCAACATGTTAGTTTAGTTTTTTTTTTTGTCGCTATGTCATGACTTGTATGTATCTAAATGGTGGCTGTTCGACATGATCGTGTTTCTGACTACAGTTTGGTCACAAATACTGATGCAATCTTCGGTAGATGCTCCATTTAATCGTGCAACGGATCCCCAACGTGTGTCGACTTAGTACATCAGTTAAACTTCTGTTCGATTACAACGATCAGATTTTGTAAGTTGGGCATAGAAGGATTATTTAAACCACAAAATGTTCACAATTGCGGTGCGACTTCAGAATGTACAAGATTCTACAAGATTTGCCCCAATAAAATGCTTTACAGATGCTCTGCTGTGCAATTAGAAACCCTACTACCTCAACATCTCAACGCTTAACAATGTAGTGTTACCAAAGAACCATTCAATACAGACATCGCATCAATGTTGTGATTACATGTCTCATTTGTTTGGTACTCAATAAACCAGAAAATTATTGCGCCTGTATTGGTATTAAGTTGGGAGTGGAGTTTGTAATTTAGTGATTCGAAAAGCTCTCATTAGCGAGAGATTTGGAGGTGCGGGATTTATGAGTTCTTAACAAGTGAAGAAAATATCTCGTATGAAGAACTTCTCTTTAATAATATAAGTTCTCTTCTATATGAGTCATCTAATGTTTTAATACCTCAATTACCACTTAAAATTGAATTTGTAAGAAAAGAGATTGTTAATAGATTGTTAGTGGTAAAAAACCCTTTTTTTATGAAGTTATAGAGTTTTAGCACAAGATGGAGACAAGAAATAAAATCTTTCAATTACTAGTATATATTAATATTTGTAAAAATTAATATTATTGGCTATCAACATATGACTATAGCCACATGTATCAAATCTAAGAACTTATTACATAGATATAGAAATGAATATGTACATTTTATGACAATATGTAGTGAAAACCTAGTTGATAAATTTAACATATAAGTATTGTATGGAGGTGTAGATCAAAAATTCAACATCTGGATGATGTTGAAGAGGAAAATAGTTTCAAACTTATATCTTTTCTTAATACAAAATATTATGCTTTATGGATAGGCTTAGTAAGTATGGCAAACAATTGTTATTCAACTGAAATGTATGATACTTGGACATGACCAAGTCAAGTTTTTTCTTGAATAAAGTGGAAGTACATTTTAATATTGTTTGTTCTAGCATATAATATTAGATTTGCCACGAATTTAACACATGCTTGATTATCACTCATGATTGAAGTTACTTTGTTGGAAAGAATATGTAAATCTTTGAATAATCTTCAAAGCCATATTTTGTCCCTTGCTAATTCAAATAACACTCTATATTTGGTCTCAATAATTGATAAAACAACTATGCTTTGTAACTTTAAACTCTAGTCAAGTAGAAAGTTTTTAGTTTTACATATGAGTCTTAAAATAAATCTGCAAAAATCTTCGTCTTGCTCTCAATTTTCATCAATATAAGTAATCATTTTTTTTTTTTTTTTTTTTTTTTTTTTAAATAATAAATTATTAGTTTTGCAATTCCTTTTAGATAGCATAAAATATACATTTCTCTTTCTCAATGTGTTTTTTGAGGTACAATGCAATATTTCCTAATACAATTTACTACAAAGCTTATACCAAGATGCCCCATATTTGATAAATAAAACAGACTTTTGATAACTCTATATTAATCCATATTATCAATCAATTCTTCACTGATTTTCTTTTTTAATTTTTTTTATAAGAATTTTATTGAGATTGCAATTCACTATACCAAATCTATCAAGCATAATATTGATATAGTTTTTTTTTAATGAAAAGTAAATCTTTTTTTAGTGCATTCAAATTTAATTCAAAAATAATTCTTTACTAGTTCCATATTTTTTTATTTTGAATTCAAATAGCAATTTTCTTTAAATTCTATTAATTTCTTCATGATTATTACCTATAATAATTAAATCATCTACATACAACAAAATAATTATATATTTATCTTTGTAATATCAAATATAAAAATTAAAATTTATTGATAATTTGTTTAGTTCTATACTTAGCAAATGCTTGTCAATTCTTCTATATCAAGCATAAAGAAAATATTGAAGACTATATAATACTTGTTTAAATTTGCATACATATCTTTTGCTTCTATATCCTTCAAATTTAGGTAGAATAATCATAAATACTTCATCTTTTAATATTTCATATAGAAATGTTGTATTAATATCATATTATTTTAGTTTCCATTCTTAAGAAGTCGCTAAGACTATATCTATTTTTTCATAGTATTCCAAAATATGATAAGTGCAAGTATCTCAAAAAAATATTCTTTTTCTCTTTGTTTAAAAACTTGTGCCACAATTCAAGCCTTGTATTTATCAATAATATTTGAAGCTCTTGTTTTCTTTTTAAAGATCTATTTAGTAGTTATGGACTTCTTTCTAAGTGGTAAGTCACAAACCTCCTATGTTTTATTTTTCTTAATATCTTGAACTTTTTATTGCATAACTTCTTTCCAGTTTTTATCCTTGATTACTTCAAAATAGTTGCTACAATCTATTTTTGCATATACACTTAGTAGCCAATTGTCTCATAATATTATTAATAACTATCCATAATTGTCTATTCTTCTTTGTATAGAGAGTTGACCAACTTTGGAAAGCAAATCA